CTGTACAAAGGACTTACAGAAAATGATTAATAACATATGTTACCACATTCCCTCCTTTTTTATTTATTCAAAGATAGGGGGTGTTTTAGTGGCATAGTACACAGTTCCCTCGCGACCTGGTCTCATATGTCGAAAAGCTGAGGTACACATTTGTAATAGATTAGGAATACATTGAATAAAACAACATAACATAATAAGTATAAGTACTTAATTTAGTACTGGTTCGCTCATTCAAAGGAACACCATGTAACAAAACTCCACCTTTCCCAGACCCAGGTACATGCATACAAAGCCAACAATTAGTAACATTTAAACCCTTAGCCGCAATCCGAATGTCCTTGATATAGGAATTTTCTTTCCATAAATTATCTCCAAGGTCTCTAGTTTCTGAGATAATAACAGCTCTTCGCCTCCATATTAGAGGCCGTGGAGGCATAAGACGAATGGAAAGAGAGTCTGTATAAGTTAATTTAGGCAACTCCAATTGACACCGATATTGTCCATAGTCTGAAACAGAAACATTAAACAGGATCAGAGTTGTTGCACAGGCTGAAGATATAATATCCTTATCAGGTCCCGAGTAAAGAATGTCCTGATCCTTATGCCAGGACCAATGTGCTGGAAAAATCAAAGGATGCCGCTGTTTGCAGATCAATTTAGTCCGGTTCCCCAGAGGAACCTGCTGCATACAAGTTGGCAATCTCAGATAAGCAGTCATCCTTTCCCAGCCTTCACAACGCCGCGCCTGGACTGCCGGCATCAAGAGAATCAGGAACCACAGGAACGCCATCCTGCTTCTCCGAAACCTCCCTCACCGGTGCCTGCGAATGATCAGGCCGAACGCACCGACCAGGAACCCAACGAATTTGACCAAGATGTTCTACTGCTGCATAACCACGTCCCCACGTAATCAGCTCAGCAGGAACCCATGCCGGATCCGGAAGGAACCGCACCAACACCCGAGGTCTCACCGCATCTGTAGAAGGGGAAGAAAAATGCCTGCTGGCCGCACTCGCAGGGGGGTTACCAGACAAATTTAAAAAATTTAAAGTATAACATCCATTTGCCAAATCATTGAAGGTTTCAACCCCCTGGGGTTGACTCCCATAGGGATAGCTGTGCCCTGCCTTGAACAAGTTGGACATTGTTGAATTATGGCAGCAGCTTCTGCAGTAGTAAGCTTGAATTGGTGTGCCAGCGCTTTAGCGTTTTGATGAAAATAACTATGGCTGTCCCATGGCTGGACAGTGAGAACTGAAGTTACAGCACTGTCAGCTTTGGCATTACCTTGTGATAAAATTCCAGGCAAATTACTATGACTACGAATGTGGGCAACAAAACATGCATGCACATGCTGCTCCAAACATCCTTGCAACAACAAAAGCAATTTTAAAATATTAGGTGATATTCCAGGAGACAAATAGGAACCTGCTACAAAGGGTAACAAAGTATATACATACAAAGAATCCACTATTAGATTAAAAGCCTGATTTTGAAAATTTTGAAAGGCCAAAACTACAGCAGCAAGTTCTGCCTGCTGGGCAGACTTCTGCTCTGATGTCACTTTTGTATGCCAAATTCCAGATTTATCTTTCCAAACACAAGCACCAAAAACTTTTCCTCCATCAGTAAAAACTGTAGGAGCATCTGATATGCCCAATGGTATCCTTTCTTACATTTCGGGCACACTGATTTAGGACGAACACCCTGTCCCATTGATCTCTTATTTTGCTGACTTTGACCCCCTCCAGGAGCCCGACATTGCGCTTTAAAATGTCCAGGCTTCCCACAATTGAAACACTTTCCCTTTTGAGCACTTCCTGCTTGCAAAGCCAAAGCTAAAGTCTCCATGTTAAAAGACTGACTCCCAACCTTCCTACATGCATTAATCAAATCTGCGATTTCTCGCTCTCCACTTGCTATAAGTGGATTTAAAATCTTTTTGCAATCTGTGTTAGCTTGTTCTATTGCTAACTTCAAAAGCAATTCTTGCTGGGCGAATTGATTTTCAATTTGTCTTTCAATAGCCAATTTTAATCTGCTAACAAAATTTTCATAGGGTTCATTGTTCCCTTGTTTGATGTTAGTGAAAGTTTTCTCGTCAGCTTCACCGTCAGGGAGAGCCCCTATGGCTTGAAAAATTATTTGTGGGAGAAGAACGAATCCCTCCTCAGGCATACCATCTCTCTGTTGTTCCACTGTTGTATAGTTACCAGCTCCGTAAAGCTGATCTGGGATAACATTTGCTGTTCCCCTCTGGACTGCCAGCTGTCTCCATTTCTGATCTAACACCAAATATTGAGCTGGAGTTAAAATCATATTCAACAGAGCTTTCCAGTCAGCCGGAATCATTTTATTTCCATAACCAACTGCTTCTAACAACGCCTGAGTATATGGCGATCTAACACCATACTCTTTTGCTGCTTGCTTAATTTCCTTTAAAATCCTGAGAGCTAGAGGCTTCCACTCCCACTGCGGATTCAACGCAGCGTCCACGACAATTTCTACTGGATTAAGTTGAACCTCTACTCCAAACTCCACTAAATCATCTCCTGATAACTCCCCTCTATTTTTTGCTTCTTGAATACCTGCAGTAACTGCATCTACTTGAACTCTTAAAGGTAAACTCTTATCCTCTGACAAAGTATTTTCAGCACCTGACAGTCCCCCGGATTTATCCGGAGGTGCCATCGGCGGCAACAAACGTACCGCATGGTAAGGCAGAAAACCTTCTTCGGGGGGTGCTAGGAGCGGTTGTTCATAAGTAGCTAACGCATCTATAATCACCCTCCAAGTTAACAAAATTGAAGAAGGGGCACGAGGTTCTTCGTGAAAAAATTTCCCTATCTTTTTCCAGGACTCTACTTTAATACTACCTCCCTCTGGATATGACTGAATATGTTTCCAAACATACTGTAATAAGTCCTCAATTTCTTTCTTACTTATTGCATGTCCTCTACTATGAATTCCAAACCTAAAACTATTCCCAGTGATCCCTCTCAATTCCCTGATGTGCTCTTTCTGAGCCTTCGAGAGATCTCCCCCCATACTCACGAAAAGAATCTATCTCCGTCCAGCGAAGAAGATGAGGGCCCAGTCGACGTCCGCGACAATGAGTATAGGATGCGGGAAACGTATAGCCTTTCCAAGCTATCACGTCGGAACGTATAGCCTTTCCAAGCTATCACGTCGGGGTCACCACTTGTGGTGGTCTGGCACTTGAAATGAGACGCAGGGAAACGTCTGAGCAAATGCCAGCTCTGAGCAAACTCAGGCAGCAGTATTTATTGAAGATTCAGAAAACAAATGACCTCGACAAGATAATAACATACAGGCACAGAAAGTCCCGCTGACGAAAGTCCTTGCTGTATACCTATAATTATCACCTATTTCCCTGTGTACCTATAATTATCACCTATTTCCCTGTGTACCTATAATTATCACCTATTTCCCTGTTCCTTCTAAGCCTGCAGATAACAGGATAAGACACTCCTGCGTAAAAGTACTCCTACTCTCACTAGGAATGCCTGCATATCCTTATCTTTATGGCTGTACAAAGGACTTACAGAAAATGATTAATAACATATGTTACCACAAATTCCATTTGTTAAACAAGATTAATTCCCCCCCCCCCCCCAGCTCATTGCTGGCCTTTGTGAAACAAACTAATTAAAATCAAATAACAAAATACACAAAACAAGCCTCTAAATTACAAAATGCTTAGAACAAACTGTATAAAAATCCATGTACTCATCAAACCAATTGGTCATCTCCCCAGGACCTCAAACCCATGTGGTCCTGTTCACCAATAAACCATCTTTCCAATCACCCTCCGTGTTTCCAGTGTCTTTCTCCCCACTTGGAACTGAACCAATGGATATTTCTTCCAACACTCTTGAAAAAAGCACCTTTTGGACAACTATGACCTGGATGACTGAACAATCCCCATAGACAAGAGATTCCTGTGCTCAGTGAACTTACAAAGCACCCTTTCACACCCAGGAGAAGCAATCCTTAAATCCGTTTGCACCAATTAAAATTACTAGCTAGTCTCATTCACCTCACAAGATATCCTAAGGAAACCATTCAAATTTAAGGAAAGTTCACATGCCCCAGAAGATAATAAATAAATCAGATAGTATCAAGCTTGCATCCTGCCTCTTGGAAGTACACCCCAAGCAGTGTAAAAAACCTTTTAAAAAATAAAGTATCAGCAAAAAAAAAAAAAAACCCTCCAGAGAAGCAGCTCCGGCTAGTCTGAACATGCTGCCAAGAACTGTTAACTGTTACAATGTAACTAAAGGAGATGCAGTTTCTGAAAATACTTAAGCAGGGCAATAAAGATAAGGATTAAGCTAAAAACAACACAGAGAAACACCAGAATGTTTCCTTCCTGCCTTCGTGACAGGATTAGCCCTGTAAAGTGGGAAAAAACAAAAGGCTATTGGTAGGAGATTTCTTCCAACAACTGATTGGCTGAACTGCTCAGAAAGTTAACAAATGGTTCTCCAGAACCAGCTGAATACCACCACTGGGAAGGAAGATGCATCTTCTCATATGCAGAAAATGCAGGTTCTGCTGTGCCCTCTTCACCAGGGTCTCACTGATGGAGTAACCAAGCTAACCTGCTGGACTGCTGCACACAGAAACTTGATACTACACTTGAATTATTAATATACAAAGGTGTATGGCTGTGCCTGACTTTTCTGACATCAACAATGATCTCTCTTGTTTTTTATTACATTTAAAACCAGACTTTTTATTATACGAGTTCATCAAACGCTCTACCCCTTCCCAGTAACTGCTCTCCTTATCATCCTGAACAAGGGCCACCACTGTGGTATATCAGCATACTTCACAATATGGTTAGTAGCAGGTATGGATCAGGAGGTACTTAGGAAACAGCCCTGATGGGAATCTGTGCTCAAGAACATGGTGTTAAAAAATTGGTCCCAATTCACACATACTGGGGCCTATTAGTGAGAAAAATCAAGAACCCAGTTACACAAAGGAATATTGAAGCCTGATGACCAAGTTTATCTAATAAATGCTGAGGAATGATTGTATTGAATGCTGAACTAAAGTCCACAAATAACACTTACACATGAGTATTTCTTTCCTCTAAGTGCTCCAAGATCGGGTGAAGAACAGGAACTAGCATATAGGGTAGAATTTTGTAAGTTAAATGAAGTCACTACACAGCAGACTGACAAGAACCTTAAAGAATGTGGAATGAAAGAAGAAAGACAAGAGGGCACCATTCATCCTTAATTTCAACTGTGAAATGTTGAATAAGACAGGAAGAACATCCCTAAATGTGATTAAATAAAACAGGAGTTAATTATTTAGTGGGCAGGATTGTTGACAGATCCTCGAGGCACACAGTAGTTCTGTGTTAGAAGTCTCCCATTATTTTTTATTAACTGCAATTATGCAGCTGCTAGTGATTGACATTTTAGTCCAAATGCAGATGCTGGGGAAAAGGACATTCAATCTTTTTCTCCAATATCCAATTCTAAATCTAACTTCATGAAACTGGGGTTGTCTTAGAGGCCCAGTTCTGTAATTTTCATAGCAAGACCATCAATAGTTTCTATAACAGAAATGCCACTGATTGCAGGGAAGGAGGGAAGAAGCAAGCAAGCAATTTCAGTTATATTCATATGACTCTTTCATATAATCTAAATGTGGGAAAATATTAACAGTGATTTGTGTATCTTGGATAATTTAAAGGCCAGCCAACCAGTGTACCACTTTAGTGCTATGTAGTATCCAGATTGAGATATGAAGGTACAGATATAGCTGCCTGTAAAACATTTTTTACATTAACTCCTATTGCAGCTTCCTGTATTTTGCTGCACATGCAGGTAAAAAACAAAGTTGTTTGCAAAGCTTCTTTCCTTGAAAAAGTTTTCTTTTTTTTATTTTATAGAACACCACCAATGGAAAAAGTCACAGAGAGTTTGGTATCATCTCCTCCACAGTTTCCATCAGAATCTGGATTTGAAATACTGCGAGACAATGACATTTTTGTTCAAAGAGATGTAGCAAACAGAGTGGAAAACACACCAGCTGTTGGAAATCACAGAAATCTAGAATGTATCCAGGTAATTTTGTTTCTTAGTACACAAATATTAAAATGAAAGTTAGCCGAGAGGGAAAGAATTCCATTGCAAATCCAATGAATGTTGCTTTTATGAGTTACTTAGGGTCCCAGTGAGCATTCAAGTGAATCAACACTGAGGGAATAATGAAGATTAACTTGCTTGTTTGCTACAGCAGGTTAAACTAAAAAGCTTATTTTTGCTATAATGCTCAACCTCTGCCTTTTCCCATTACAGGTGACACAGTTGTATCAAAAATTGCTGCTGCAGTGTAATATTATGCATTCGGGAAATAATAGTTTTAATTAATATATAAATGAATGACATAAAATAGTTTCATTTTCACTGTATACTTAATTGGGTCAGAGGAGTAAGTTGTCATGCAAAGTCTAAAATTCAGGATAATCTGCCCAGCTAATTGAGTTTAAATATGTTGGAGGACTAATTTCCCTGAAATCAACACTCGGCAGAATTATTTGAATATTAACTGTTTCAACATTTGCAATTAAAATAATATCAAGTGGTCCTGCAAGATTGAGATTATAGGTACAACTTCCCACCTCATAGCTGCACCAGCTTGCACTAAAAAGAGGGCTACTTAACTGGGGAGGAACATTACCCTCATTACTTTTAATTTCCCCTCTATTCCAGAACCATTTAGTATATAAAATTAGATACAATCTTTCTTTCAAAGAATTTTTATTACTTATTTTTACTTTTATTGAATAGTAATTCATTGGAGTTTACAGTAGACATATTACCTTTTAGATAAAAGCAGGAAATACTCTGTCAAGAGTAGATTTTCAGTGAAATCACTTACCAGAACTAATGTACTTATATGTTAATGGGTAAAACAAAAGCATATTTGTGAAGGAGGCTGGTTCCTAGGTCACCTGGGCTGGTAGATAAGGGGAAAACCGGACCATTTATTCCCTTCACTGATTAAAGAAGGTAATCAAGAACTGGAAGAAAACACTTGAAAAAAGCTCTGAGTTAGTGAGCCATGAATGCAATCTTATAATGGTTATAAGCATAATGGTTTATCAACAGGGAGTCTAAAATAGAGGAATCTCCTGCAAACTTTTTAAGAAAAAGCTTCTTTATGTTAAATGTGTTAGGGCTGGGTTTTTGGTTTTTGGTTGTTTTTATTTCCTATCACAAACTATAAAATAAGCTTAATGTACAGTGTGAACCCTGGATCTCAAAGAACATAATAACTCGATATATATTGAGAAGAATAGTATCTCAACAGCATTTGACTTAGTGCAAAATGTTTCCATGATCCCTTCGGCAGTCAAAAAAAGCTGACAATACCTAGCTAGCCAAAGCTTATTTTTAAAAAGCTGACCAGAATTGGGGCCTTTTAGTAGCTGGAAGGATCATCTCCAAATAATCCCAAGTAGACTCAACTGTAAGGTTGGGGGAAAGAGAGCAACAAGAGTTAAGGGTAACTGAGCACAGGGGAGAATTTTTCTTAGAACTTTAACCTTAGACTGTCTACTATTGATCTCACCCCTTTCCTAAGAGGTCTGTAGGAGCATGCGTAAGCGCACCAACGTGTCTACCGTCCCTGTCCTATTGTTTCTTTTATTTTTATTTTTGTTAAATGTATCCATGTATTCATAACTATGTTTTTACTTATACCTATTATCTTGTAAACAATTGACAAAAATAAATTAAATGAATAAGTAAGTAAGTAAATAAATAAATAAATAAATAAAACTTCACTCATGGCCATAAGAGTGGTGAAGCAAGCTCATTTCTTTGTTTTTTTTTGCATATACAGATAGTTGATCTATAGCTCTGCTCAGGGTGACCAGATTCTTTCTGGATAAGGAAGAACACCATGAAAAATACTCTCAGCATCTCTCAGACACACGTGCACACACACACACACACACACACACACACCTTATATATAATATCTTCTCTATTATATTCTTACTTCCTCTATTATATTCTTTCTGTACTTCTGTATTATATTCTTACTTTCTCTTTCTTCTCGTTTTTTCTTGCACTTTTTACTCCTTTCTATTCTCTATTAGTTTTTATTAGATGTTACAATTACTATATTATTATTATGTTACTAGTCAAAATTCTTAGTAAAAATTATATATGAAAATTACTGTCTAGAAGTTGAGATATATAATTGATTAACAGTTATAAAAATAGCACATTGATGATACCATACTTTGTGCTGCTGGAGGGCCTCTTGCAGTGGTCTCATATAGATGTTAAAGAAGATGGGGAGAGCCTTGAGGCACCCCACATTACAGAGGCTTGACTTCTTTCTTCCCTCTTAGCTTAGAAATATTTATCTTTTCATCCCATATCCCATCTCGTTTCAATAAACAATTCCATGCAACATTACGTTTCAGTCCTCGTGTCAGCAGAAAGTTCATAAAGGGCTGTGGTGGGATTCAACCAATTTAACGACTGGTTCTTCCTAATGACTGGGTGATCATGTAATTGAATGGGACTGGTCAACTTGATGTCACTCACAGCAACATGGGGCGGTAGCACAGGAGGGCTGAAGTGGCAGTGGCAATGACCGGAGTCTTAGATTTACCTTTGTATAGCAACAGCATCGGTGATTCTCTGATTCCTCATCTTTTGCTGGGTCTCGCTGCCTGATAGGGTTTTATTTTATTTTATTTTATTTGGTTTGTCAATTGCTTATAAGATAATAGGTATAAGTAAAAACATGGTTATAAATACATGGATACATATAAGAAAAATAAAAGAAACAATGGGACAGGGATGGTAGGCAGCAGGAAATAGCAGGAGGTTATTTTGGGCCCTTGTTGGTGCAGCTGGGGATGATTCCACCCCGAGACATTGGACTGACATCGCCGCTGCCTCTTTGCCAGTGCGAACAGCCTGCAGCTGCTGATTCTTTGCTTGCGTGAATGGCTTGCAGTCACTGCATCTTTGCTGGCTTGAGAGGCCTGCCAGTGCTGCCTCTTTGCCAGAGCAAATGGCCTGCAGTTGCTGCCTCTTTGCCATTCATGCCGGCAAAGAGACAGCAGCTGCCTCTTTGCCAATGTGAACAGCCTGCCACTGCTTGAGCCATCAAGGAGGTGTCGGTTTGGACTGGCAAAGAGTTGGAAGCAGGCCATTCATGCTGGCAAAGAGTTGGTGGCTGCAAGCCATTTGCACCAGCAAAGAGGCAGCATCGGCAGGCCGTTCACACCAGAAACGAGGCAGCTCCAGCAGGCTGTTTGCGCCAGTAAAGTAACGGCAGTTGCAAGCCATTCGCACTGGCAAAGAGGCAGCAGCAGCATACAGCAAAGTGGCAGGTGCAGCAGCTTACAGCAAAGAGGCAGCGGCGGAAGGCCGTTCGCAGGTAGGTAGCTGGGCCGCATGGGAGGCAGCTGAGAATGGTGAAGGAAGACTTGGCAGGGAGCTGGGAAATGTGGGAGGCCAGGGTGAAAGCAGACAAGTGGGATGGGCCACAGTGGCCACGTGGTCGAGGAGAGCGAGCAAGCGAGGGAGCCAGACAGCAGCAGCTGCTATGCCATGGCCAAGGCAGGATAAGGAGTGACTGCGAGGGGAAGGGCGGGTGGGGTGGGTGGAGCTAGCCTGTGGTGCAATTAGCTGGTTCTCCAAATTGCGCAAAAATTTAACAACTATTTCACCCAAACCCATCCAAGCTGGCTGGATCCCACCTCTGATAAAGGGTTACCAGAAGTAACAATATTTTGCTTTAACCTTGATCAAATAAACCAAAATATAAACCAAATTTTACATTCCCACATTTTACTTCTAACAGTCTAAATCTTTAGTTCATTTTACTATTGTCATAATATTTGATTCCTTTTCATTTATTTTTATTCAACTGTACAGAGTTCTTCAAGGCTTTAAATCCAATAGGAAAAATTAGGGAAGAAAAAAGGGAAGTGAATAGTGGAGGAAAGAAAGAGAAAAACAAAAAGAAAAAAAGGGCATTGACTTCTGACCCCTTTGTGCAATTGAATAAGGCATTAAGATCTATGCTCAACTTTTTACTTTTTCATAATAATAAAAACTAGCCATTTCTGTAACAAATTGATCTAATTGGTAAAATCCAAGGTCAATGTTGCATCTTTTTCCACCTCAAGCACAAAGTCTAGAAGTGGTTTCCACATCGAAATAAAGGTGTTCATATTTTTTTTTCTTTAATCAGAGCAGTCAATTTAGCCATATCTGTTAACTCGACCAGTTTTTATAACTTTCTAAGATCAAGTCTGATTTAGCTTTTTGCCATTTATTTCAGAGAGGAGGTGCAATGCTTCAGCAATTTATATTTATGCTGAGCTTGTCAATTGGAAAGCTGAGAACTCAAGTTCGAAACACGAGCGCTGTGCAATGGAATGAGCTGCTGTCCTTACTCCAGCTCCTGCCCACCTAGCAATTTGAAAGCATGCAAATGCAAGTAGATAAATAGGTACCATTTCAGTGGGAAGGTAACAATGTTCTTTGCCCCTTGGTGTATAACCATGCTGGCCACATATCCATAGAAGTGTCTTTGGACAACATGGGCTCCCTTGGCTAAGAAACAGAAGTGAGTGCTACTCTATAAAGTCAGACACAGCTGGAGCGGAGATACTTTTGCCTTTATTTATTTCAGTTTCTTTAAATTTTTAAGCTTATGCTTAAAATTGTCCTTCATTCAGGATTGAAGACAGATTCAAGTGGCTTTTTCAAACTTATCAATAAAAAAGTCTCTAATAGCTTAGAAGTAAATGAGCTAGTTCAAAAAGTGATCAGAAATGAGGTTTGCAAATTTAATGTTTAGCATATTAAATGCAATGTTACTTCTTCTCTGGGTGAACATGAGTGGTTTGCTTTTGAATACTTAGATATTAATTTGTTTCTTTTCTTTTTTAAGCTTACCTAAGAATTCAGGGCAGTGTATACTTCTTCTCCATTCCACAAAATTCTATGAGGAATGAGCTTGAGAGATAATAATTGGCTGAAAATTATGCAATGAATTGCCAAGTAGGCAGGCATTTGAATTAAGCAGGATGTACCAAAGGATTTTACCCTCTTGAGTTTCTGAAGCACCATTGGATTTTTTTCCTGAAATTTGATATCTACTGTGTTTATAATATGCTCTCTGGTCACATGTATTTTAGCATCAGTACTATTAGCACCAGTTTTCAATAATTATATGCATTTAAAGTCTGCAAATTGCATGCAGGCCCCTACAGCTGTGTTGGATTGAAAGTTGGTTCCTGTGGGTAATGTATTTCCAAGTAGAATCTGAGCCCAGTTTTAATTACCCTTTCCTGCTAATTCTAGGTTTCATTATCTTTCTATTAGTGTAACCAATTAGTCATTGTTTTGGTATTCAGTAATTGCAGCTACATCTCCTCAGTGATGTCAATTCCAAAATAAAAACTCTGGGGGTTACAGTTGTGAAAGCGTAAAAAATAGATGGGTGGAGGAAGCAAATGGAAAATCTCTTCCTCTACTGCCTGCAGTCAAAACAGAAGAGAAGTGGGGGAATATTTCAGAATAGACCAGGTTCTACATCTTTGAGATTACTTCCATCTGTAACTTGATAACAAACATGCAGGCAGAAAAATATTTGGGTAGGGCAAAGTGTAAATAGAGTTGGAGGAATGGTTGGGCAATCCTTTGCTGAAGTCAATAAACGTAGAGCTGAAGAAAATCTTCCACTATAATTTTGTTGCAAAGGCTCTTCAGTTCAAAGGTATTTTCAGACAAAAATTTCTGCTAAAATGGGTCTGTTGCGGAAAATGAATTCACTGAAAAAACACTCATTGAAAAGAATTAGAAAGAATATTGACTCATAAAGCTATAATTGTCTTGTATGTTAATTCTAAAAGTATGGGAAGTAATCAAGATGATGGTGAGTTCTTTCCCCTTTTCCACATATCTACAATAAACTGGAAATAAATACAAGAAGGTTAACATTCCTTTACTCCTATCTCATTGATTTAGGCTCCTATGACTAAACTAAGAGATGTGGAGCAGATATTGGAAGGCTATTGCTCTAATTCAAGCAAATATAATTTTCAGAAGGTAAGGAAACAAATCAAATCTCTATGGGCATATATAATGCAAAAAAACCTGTTTGTTTCACCTTCAGTAGGCATGCCATTTTCTGAAAGCAATTAAATCCAAGTGCAGTTAAAAAATAACCCGTCATGCACTCATGAAAATACATTTCCAGATGACCTTGTTAGTTTATTATACATTTCCAGATGACCTTTGTTAGTTTATGGGGAAAGGGCAGTAAATGGTGTAGCCAAAATTGTGACAGGATGGCATCAGAGGGCTATGAAAAAGAGTTGTTTATTATTATTATTATTATTATTATTATTATTATTATTATTATTATTATTATTATTATTATTGTTGTTGTTGTTGTTGTTGTTGTTGTTGTTGTTGTTGTTGTTATTATTATTATTAAATAGACTTTAAAGATGCACTCTCCTATTACATTTTCTTGGTGAAACATGTAAGGTCCAAATTAGGAAAGGCAGGTATATTTGAATCAGCAACCACATTTTTTTCAAACACAATTCCAATTTCTACTATTATTGATTAACATACACTATCTGCTAGACTTTTGATGGGAAAATGTTCAGCTCAGACAAGAAAAAGCATTAGCTATCATTAAATGGAGGCATTGATTCTTAAAATGGCTTGCAAAGTATCATATTCTTGGTGTCAGAGCAGCCTTCCTTCATCCAATGATCCTCAAAACGTCTTCTATATGAATCCGTGTCTTTCCTGTCATTGTGGCCAAATTAATATATTTGGAAGTACTAGGTCAACAGAGGAACTGGTGATCTTAATTTTAATCTGCAATTTAAGTTTTAGTTAAACCACTAAGTTTGACAACATTTAAAACATATGGTTCTTATAAGATCAAATGCTGCAACTACTTATGAAGTCAAAATGTGAATTATTAGCATGGAAGAAAATTATTGGTACATTAAATGAAATCATTACTGTTGTCTATCTTTGACAGAATAGAGAAATGCCAATGAAGACAACCACCGGCAAGACCATAACAGGAGAAGAAATGACTTTAGATTATCCTTCTGAATCAATTCAAAAACCAGATAAAGAAGACCCCGTTTGGCTAGAATCTTGTGCGGCACACTAATATTGGCCCTTTTATGTGACCATGCTTATGATTTTGAAAGGAGAAAGGATATACAAGGCCAACTGTACAGAATAATACTTTCCCCTCAAATTTTATACACTTTTAGCCTCCAAGAATCCACCTATCTGGAGAGCTATGTTGAGTAAATCAAATGTACCAAGTTGCAGTGAACTAGCATTGATCAGACTGAAGCCATCTCCACCACTCGAGGTGTCCACTGCACATTCTATTCTCCAATCCCTTAAAAGTATTGTGAAGCTGATATATGGTTCTCATCACTTACTGTCAGCCTCAAAACATGGAGAACAGTATTAGAATGAGAGAAGGGTGAAGGGAAGTGCGGGTTTCCATCAATGGAGAATAGACTTCCCAAAAGCTTTGCTGAATTGCAGTGCTTCAGGAAAAAAAAGAAGGAAAGGGGAAAGGGAAAGTAAGGGACACAGCAGTTCTTCTATACAACAGACTAGCTATACTTGGGAATTGAACTAATGTCATAAGAACAGACAAGTTCAAAGCTGATTCTGAACTGCTATCCCAGAAACTTCCTCCATTATGGAAGCTCATTCATGTACCAGAATAATTTTACATGTAGTTTATTCTTTCTGGGTTTCTCCCTCTCATTGGCATGATTTCATAATAGCTATAGGTGCTTCTGGATCTTGAAAAAAGGACTGAGTGAATTGTTCCTTTCAATTCCAGTACAGAGGTCCAAAGCAGCAGATGAAAAACGATGCTCCCTTGCCAAACATGCACGAGATGACTACAAGAGACTGTCATTACAGGGTATCCACAAGGACAAAGCATCTGATCTTTCCCAAATCTTTAAGAGAGAGGAGCAAACAAAGCCACTCCCTCCACCTCTGCCACCAAAGCCTAAAAACCTTACAGCTAAAATAGCTGATGGGAAACCAGAGAGGTTAGTAACTTAGGGTGAGGGTCACTGTACTGCTCAGAAAGACACATACAGCTCAAGATGGTCTGCTGAATATCGTATTTCTTCCTTTCGAATTGTTCTATGAAATTGGATTGGGAACAATAAACCTTGCTTGTAACAGCAATATTATACACTGATTTAAATTATTTAATTGGACAGTATCATCATATGGTATCAAAATCAAAAGGTTTTAGGCCAGACCTGAGCATTTTACAGCTTGTGCGTCATGTCTGGCATTTTCACGGTGGCTGGGCATCATTGTCTGGGTTTAAAGCACCAGTGGCATAGGTGGGATTCAGCCAGTTCTCAACGAATTGTTAATTGCTTATGCAGTTCAGAGAACTGGTAACAAATAAAGTGCTAGAGAGTTTTCTCTTTCTCTCTCTCTCTCTCTCTGTCTCTCTCTCTCTCTCTCTCTCCTTCAGTTAATAGCTCCGGGCAGACAGCGAAGAACCACTTAACAGTTGCAGCAGGAATGCAGCCGATACACTGCTGAATCAAATCAATAAACAACAGAAACTGACAGCATTAGGGCAGGGAAACCCATCAATTACCCATCTAAGGATGGGATTAGCCTCTTCCCTTTAGGAAGAAGGACAAGATTACAAACATTTTCATTATAAAGAGTATTAAATGACACTTCTGTGATCAGCTGATACTTCCTGGAGTTCCCCAAGAGCTTTTATAGCTGCTGCCAGTGTTGGCTACTTCTTGTTTCTTACTGGGGTAAAAGATACAGGAGGGAACAATGATGCAGCTTGATCAAACAGGCTGTGAATTTAATGCATATGTGGTCCAGCCAGCTGTTTTGCTCCTGCAGCACCCAATTTAGAACATAGAGAACATAGAATAATAGAGTTGGAAGGGTTAATTGCTTTTGGCAGCATGCCCAGGCTTTCAATTAGCATGAGCGGCTGCTCTTAGTTTCTCTCTCAGTTACTGCGTTTGCTCTGGGGTTGATTATAAGAAAGGATTTGATTCTGTTCCAGACAGCTGAATTAAGAAATGCTTAAACATTTTTGGAATTAGCAGCAACATCAAGAAATTTCTGAAGACTTCCATGAAGCTATGGCAAACTCAACTGATGGCTTGTGGATAAGAAGTTGATGAAGTTGAAATCAAACAAAGAATTTTCCAAGGCAACTCATTGTCACCTCTGTTATTTGTATTATCAGTGCTGCCACTAACAAGCATTTTGAACAAGACAAACTGGCTATGAATTTGCTAAAAAGGTTAGAAAATTTTCCACTTGCTTTATAAGGATGATTTAAAATTGTTTGGAAAAACAAAAGCTGCAAAGTGGGGTGCGATACTTAGTTGGAATAATTGATTGGACTCAGCTAGAACTTAATAACTTGGATCAAAAGACAAGAAAATTAATGACAATGCACCCCCAAAGTGATATCAATCTATTGTACTTGCAAAGATCTCAGAGTGGCAGAAGACTCTTACAGGTGAAACAAACTATGGAAGAGGAAAAACATGATTTAAATGACTATATAAAGAAAGCAAAAGAACCTTTGCTGAAGGAGGTAAACAAGGGAAACCTCTTAAAAACAATCAGGTTGAAAGCAGAATATCAAAAGGAAACAATCAAACATCAAGTTTCTAACTGGAAAAAGAAGCCTATGCACAATCAATATCTGAAGGACATTGAAGGAAAGGTAGACTCAAATCTAACATGGAACTGGTTGAGATCAGGGGTGCTGAAAAAAGAAATTGAAGGTTTAGTTTTGGCTGCTCAAGAACAAGCCTTGTAGACTAATTCCATGAAAGCAAAAATTCAACACACAGCATTGTTGCTTATGCAATAAGAAAGATGAATCGGTGGATCATCTTATCAGTGGCTGCAAAAAAATTTCACAGACTGATAATCTACAACATTATGATCAAATTGCTAAAATTATATTTTGGAAACTTTATAGCTCAAGGTTGAAATTAGGGGTCCTTGGTGCTCCCTGAACTTGCTTGTTTTCTTGCAGATGTTTCATTGCCCTAACTAGGTAGCATCATCAATGCCAGTGGTGTTACTTAGTTATATAGGTAATAGTGATGTTACCTAATTAGGATAATGAAACATCTGTAAGAAAACAAGCAAGCTCAGAGAGAACCAAGGACCTCTCATTGGAAGCTTTGCCTTCACCTTCTGCTTAGGAAGAGATGCCTCCATAAAAATGAATAGAATAGAATAAAAACTTTATGGTCACTTTAAATGTACACTAATCAGCATACATTAAAATGAAATTTCATTGCATTTAGCTCTAAAAAACTAACCATTATGCATATACCCACATACACACACATATATTCTCTTCTGTCTCTTTCGGAAGGCGTTGAAGACCTGGTTCTGCCAGTGGGCCTGGGGAACCGAGAGCATGATGGAGCCCATTAAATGGCTCGTATAATCTGCTGTCACTGGGGTGGGGAGGTGGGGATTTTACTATATTAATTTAATTGATTTTACAAGCTTTATTGATTTAAATTGTGGTTTTATATGTTGTAAGCTGCCTTGAGTCGTCAAGGTGAATAGGCGGCAATACAAATCTAATAAATAAATAAAAATAAAATATACGACGCAGAGAAACATCACAGTCTAGTTCAAATGTATACATATATGGGGGTGGGTGGGGGGGAAGAATCCTGCAAGTTTACAAGACAGATGACATAAGGGGAAAAAGCTGTTACAGAATTTAGTAGTCTTACTGTAGATCTTTGAAACCTCTTCCAAGAGGGGAGCAATAGAAACAAACCGTGAAATGCATGTGTGAGGTCTCTAACAATACTTCGAACTCTAAACACATAGCACTTATAAGAAGTATCCTGAATAACAGGAAGCGAGCTTCCTATAATCTTCTCAGCTCTCCTTACCACTCTCTGTATGGACTTTTTATCTGAGGCACTGCTGCCACTAAACCAAACAGAATAAACAAGTGGTGATTTCAGGATTTACTGATTTAAAAGGATTGTTTATGTGAACAAAGGAACTATATTACATAATTTGGAAGGGCAAAAATGGTAATAATCATGTTTGGAACTGCTGTATAAAAGTTCAGAACTCGCTTCTTTATATATTTGCTTCATTTTCTTTTTTCTTTCTTTGTCTTTTACTGTTTTCACTTCTCAATCTTTTCATACCAGTATCTTTTTTTGGTTTTCTAATTTTCCTTTTATGTTTCTATAATCTTTAATCCTATATGTTCTTTTTCAATAATATATTTTAATCTAAAGATTAGCATGTTTTTATGCGCATTCCTAATGTGTAAGTGGATTTTTTAAATTCTGTATTGGAACTGAACTAATATCCCGCTAAATATTTCAACCAGCTATTCTTTTCTTATGACAGAAAACAGAGCTCACAAAATTCTATCTCCAGTTCTCCTTGGGAGAGTATAGGTCAATGGTTTAAAGAAGAGCAGATCAATTTCCGAGCCGGCTTTGAAAAATCAATGGATCAGATTGCACCTTGGTTTCACGGTACTGTACAGTCATTGACTTATCTCAATCAAAAGTATAGAAATGGCCACAAATGCAGTTACAATCTCGATATGAAAAAGATGCTAAAATGTATGGTTTTAATAAAGAATTACAGAATGGGACCAGATATTAACTGAAATCAGGGTGGGATTCAAATTTTTTAACAACCAGTTCTGTGGGCATGATTTAGGTGGTGGGTATGGCTTGATGGTCATGTTATTGGCTGGGTGTGGCCAACTCAATATCACTCACATCGAGGCACGCATCTCCTCGCCTGGCCTCTCATGACTGTGGGGATGTTGCAACAGTCGTAAGTATGAAAAGTGGTCATAAGTCAATTTTTTCAGTGCCATTGTAACTTTGAAAGGTCACTCAACACAAGCAAAGTACCAGCAAAGAAGGGGGGAAAAATCCAGAGACGTTCCTGAGACAGGAAGTCAAGTCCTGCCAAGAATGTAATAAGGGTTAACGGAGAGGCAGTTTCTGTAAGCAACTCCAGAATGTTTCCTTCCTGCCTTCCTTACAGGATTAGGCCAGTAATTTCTCCTAACAACTGGTTCTCCGAACCGCTTAGAATGTTAACAACCGGTTCTAGCGAATAGGTGCGAACCTGTAGAATCCCACCCCTGACTGAAATGGATGAAAAATTAATAAAGAAAATATATAGCTCTTTATTAAATATCAAATTGGAAAGTGAGCAAGTAAAGGAGACAATGATAGTTTGGGCTAAATTTTTTGGATATGCAATAAAACTGGATAAATGGCAGAGATTGTGGGATAGAAATATTAAATTAACTGTGTCAACTGCATATAAAGAAAATTTGTATAAAATGTTTTATAGGTGCCATTTTTCACCAAGAAGACTGGCAAAAATGTTTAAAGATAAGTCTGCTAAATGTTGAAGTGCAATCAGATATCTGATTTGTATTACCATATGTGGTGGAAATGCCCAAAACCTAAAATAATATTGGACAAAAATACATACTTGGTTGGAAAAAATGATAAAGCAGTATATAGATTTGAACCAGAAATATTCTTGTTGGGTATCCTGCTGGAAAAGTATGATAAAAGGAATATATATTTGATTTTGCATGTATTAATTGCAGCCAGAATTGTATTTGCACAACAATGGAAAAGTGATGAGATCTCAACAGATGAGAGTGTAATAAAAAATTCATTTGATTTTCAGTATTGCAAGCATAAAAGAATTCCATTAGATGCAAGAATATCATGCCTCGTTTCTTTTTGTCTAGAAAGAGATTTACATTGCAGATAGGAATTCAGATAGGAATTTACCAGACAAATACAAAATGCCACATTTACGTAAGGAAATAAGAGTTTCAAGAAAATAAAAAAACATTTCTATTAAATTTCTCCTATTTAGTATGCTAAACCAGGATGTTTTAGTGCCAATCAGAAAGATTAGATTTGTAGAACAAATATTTATCTGATGTCCAATTCTTAAAATAGGAAGAAAAGTCCTGTAAAATTAGCATAAAATTCCAGGTATTTTTTTAATAAAGAAAAATAAATACAATAGAAATAGTTTAACAAGTTTCTAACTAGATTTTCAGGACAAAATAATCTTGTTTAAAGTTAGTTGCAATTATAATATTACAAATACTGCAATAAAATATTTCACCTGGCTAAAACTGATTTGGCCATTTTAATTATAAGTTATGGGTCTATGACTATAATAAAACATTCTCTTTCCTACAAAAGATACCCTAAGGATTAGTGTCTATAAATTGCTTTCAGCACTTGAAATACCAGTATGTTGCATAAATCCAGGTAATCCTTGATTTACAATTAATCATTTTACAATCATTCAAAGTTACAATGGCCATGGAACAGATACTTTATGGCTGGTCATGAAATTTTGCAGTCACATGACCACAATTTGCAATATTTTGCTGATTTGAAGTGAATAGGTTTGCTTAACAATCACCATGTTCATTTAATATGAAAAATTAAGGCTGGAAATTTTTTTCAATCATGACTGAATATTATTTATAGTCATGTACCTTGATTTACAATTATAACTACTTATGACCAGACTTCCAGTGCCAATTATAGTTACAGTTGTAGGTCAAGAACTATCTGTATTGATGATAATTTTACAATAAATAATCTAATAATTCCCTGGCCAGGATCAATCATGAGCCTTGGAAAAGGACAAACTATGAAAAAATCAGACCTATATTTTCAGTACACTATAGATGAGAGCAATATGTTTTCTGTAGCAATGAAAGGTTCTTGTAATGATTATTTACAACCTGTTTAATTGTGGCTGTTAAAAAGAAATTAAAAAAACATTGGAACCCCTGCTACCTGCTTCTCAGGTCCATGCTGAGTGATGACTCCTCATAAGCACAAACACCTGCTATGTGGATAGAGCTTCTGAATGTCAGCTGACAAGTCCTGCCTTTTCTATCATGTCTTTGAAAAGTGCTATAGGTGTTCCTGCATTCAAGAGAAGTTGGGTTTTTTTTCTCTTCTAAATCTGTCAGGGAACTCTACGGTTCACTACACTTTTTTTAAAAAAAGCTGCCTTATGTCATTAAGACTATGTAGCATTATCTGGGAAAGTGGTTAAATAAATGAAAACTCTGGACCAACAGAAAGGAAGAGAAAGACAGAAAGTTTGTCTCTTTTTTAAGAGCATGTTTCCCATGTAACATATGAGGTACTTCCTTATTTATATTGCTTTTGTTTTGGGAACAGGTATTTTAACCACCAAAAAAGCAGAAGAACTTTTAGAGGGTTTGGCACCTGGAAGCTTTCTCATCCGAGTCAGTGAAAAAATCAAAGGCTATGTTCTCTCCTATTTGTCAGCAGAGGGCTGCAAACATTTTCTGATAGATGCTTCTGGAAATTCATATAGTTTCCTTGGTGTTGACCAACTCCAACATTCAACATTAGCAGACCTAGTTGAATTTCACAAGGTGGGTCTCTCTTAGTTTTCAGCACATTCTATACCCAAATTAGAGATTTCTGCAGAATGTATACAATACAAAGGCAGGGTTCCCCTATAGAATTCTATAATTGCTTTAAAGGACAGGTTTGAAATTATCCTCATTGCTTTAAATACAAATATGTCTCTTTCAATCACACAATTACAGGCCAACTCCAAGTTAGAAGGCAAAACGTCTATTTAGTCTTTTCTCTAATCACCTATCCATTCATACAATGCTCTTGCATGATACTATACAATATCAGATGAGATAAGAGCATTCTGGGAAAACTAAAAGGCAGCATATCAGCAACTGTCAGTAAGTCCATAATCAAATGATTGAGCATATTAGAAAATGCCAATTTCCTTTAACTGCAATAAGCTCCATGAATTCCTGATTAGCAGCATTACCAGCATTACCTACAGGGTCAGTTCTGAAATATTGTTTTGAAAAGTCTCTATGGTCATTTTTAAATTGAAGCAAGCTATGGAAAATATATATCAGTGGAATAGCTTGCATTTCAGAATCAAGGGTGCTTCATCACTGAAGGCTTTCAAGAAAATATAGAATAATCATTTGTTCAAGAAGGTTTAAGGAATCCTGCCTTTAGCAGGGGATTGATCTAGAAAATCACCTTCCAACCCTATGATTCAATGATTCTGTATTGGCTAGTATTTGTGATGTCTTGATGAAATTAGGTGATTCACTAAAGCTATTTCACAATTTCAGAACTAAGCTGGGATAAGAAAATTGCAATTTTCTTAATTTTTTTAAAAGAAATGTATTAATATAATTTGCCTTGCTACCTAAAATGCTTTGAAGCCAGTTGTAAATAACTTAATAGTCATTAATAGCAATAGCAATAGCACTTAGATTTATATACCGCTTTACAATGCTTTACAGCCCTATCTAAGCAGTTTACAGAGTCAGCATATTTCCCCCAACAATTTGGGTCCTCATTTTGTCCACCTCAGATAAAATGGAAGGCGAGTCAACCTTGAGCCTGGATGAAATGTTGAGTCAACCTTGAACCTGGTGAGATTTGAACGGCCGAATTGCAGTCAGCCAGCAATCAGCAGAAGTAGCCTGTAGTACTGCATTCTAACCATTGCGCCACTGTGGCTCATAATCAAAAATTAAATACTAACTTTACTGGAGTTCAGATCTTTGGGATTCAACTTTAGAAGAGTCAATTTTTATCTTGGTTCCTTTCTTTTTTAGGATGAGCCCATTACATCATTGGGGAAGGAACGACTTCATTATCCCTGTGGACAACAAGGATAGTTACCAGATTATCTTGATCTTTTTGAGTGATTGTCAAGTGCAATAAAATCAGGAAGTCCAGGCAGTTCAAAGGAATATAAAGATTTATTGCAAACTTATATGCTCTACAAGAATCTGAACTGTTAATGGTCAAAGCAAATAGGTGGTAGATAAGAATGAAATTCATAGGGAGATTTCTTGTGGACACAAGGGATTTGAGATTGATGATGCATTAATCTTCCTCAGGCTCAGCCTGGTTGTCTTCTACAGATACTTAGAAAATCCATTTATCATATGGAGGAAGTTTATGGAATGAGGAGCTGCTGGCATGGAGCCAAAATCCTTCAGTTATTACAATAGTTCCTTAACTGTAAAAATGTAATTTAAATATATTTGATAAACAAAAACTAAATTCAATCAAGAAAGAAATGGGATCAAAATCCTAAAGAAAGCAGCAAAAGAATAAAGCTACCATTACAGGCAATTGTGGTAATGAACTTTCTTTGTTCAAAATGAAACCTGACTGCATGAATTGCTGTTAAATGAAATTATAAGGAACTATTCCAAAGAGTTGACATTTGACATTCTTGAAAGGTTTGTATTGTACTTACATTCATAATTGTTTTATATCTCCACACTTTACTATATTGTAAGCTACTCAAAGTCACCAAGTGCTACAACATGGGCGCCATATAACATTAATGAATAAAAATTAAATAAATAAAATCATTGAGGAAAACTCCAAATGCAGAAGTAATTAGAAGTATCTTCATAACTTCAAATACCCTGAAAGGTTGGTTTTCATCATCAGGAACGAGTAATGAGTATAAACATGTCTGTAGTGCATCATAGAACAATGGGTGCATTAGAGCTTCCAACTGTTCACATTTTTCTTGCTGTATTCTCTGCTAAAACAACATCGACAAAGTTGTTTCATAGGGGTTGTGTGTTCCTTTAAAAATGATAGCAGACATTGCATGGATCAAAACTTTTCACTGTCAGTTCTATGGCCTAGTTCTTTAGAAAATTGAGTCTTGGCATACTGGCAGGGCATGGGAGAATCAGATACATTTTTGTATTAACATATGTAGAAGGGAGAGAAGGGAAGAGGAGGAGGAGGAGGAGGCTATCTTGGCGGGAAGAGGAGGAGAAAGAGAGGGGAAAGACAAAAAAGGCCGGAAGTTGAGAGAGGATAACTACCTTTTGGAGGGAGGGGAAAAAAGAGACCTAGAAGGATAGGAAATGAAAAAAGAGGTCTGGGGAAAGGAAGAGGGAGTGAAGGCAATAGGCAGGATAGGAGAGACTTCTGTGAGGCAAGCAGAGGAAACCACGAAGGAGCAGTGGAAGGAAAGCTCAGCAGGCGATTCAAGAGAGGGTGAGAGGAGAGAGAGAAAGAAAAAAGGGCCAACCAGCCACATGAATACCATCTCATCATGTGACCCGCCAGTTGGGAAAAGACTGACCATCGCCCCATCGCATGACCAGCCTGTTGAGAGAAGACTGACAACCACAACACTGCATGTCCTAAGCCAATAGAGGTGCCTGAGAGACGGACTAGCGGGGACCTGTGGCCATACCAAAAGGGCAAAGAGAACCCGGATTCCAGCAGCCCTTTTGGGGGTAGCACTACACACGGACATAACTAACTAATCATGGGTACAATGTGCTTTTTCTTCCTTTTTCTTTTGTGTCCAAGCTTACTAGGACAAATCGTTTCCTTGTCTGAAGAAGCTGGTGTATGATAGACAAATATAGTAAATAGCCAGCAATGAGAGAAGAGCCTTTAGCAACAAATGCTCAAGGAAGGCAGATGGCTACTGAATGATGACTGCATAAAAAATAAACATTACATGCCTCAGGATTTTATTCTTTTCTCTGAAAATGTTACCAATAAATACATTTTTGCAACAGAACAAGCACAGTCACTACCTTTTCTAATTGTGCTTCAGTTCACTTGAAAATAATCTCAGCTAGACCAAGAGGAAAGCATTCATTATAATAGAAGCAGGATTAATACATGCATTGTCAAAGGCTATTTACATTCTATATTCAGAATTTGGACATGTCTCAAGATTCCTTATTTTCTAGTTATTTGTATTATTTAACTGCATCTGGAAAATATACATCTATTTTCATGTATATGTCTATTTCATTGAAGCTCCATTTGGCGGCATATTTTCCTAAACTCATATATATATAAAATACAAGCTAAATTGGCAAGTATATTAAAATCAGATACCATACTGGGATATCATCCCTGCAGAAATTATACCGGCCGTCATGTTGACACTCTTTCATAAGATCCAGAAGAACCAATGGTCTGAAGAACCCAGAGTGGGATGGAGCCCATCAACTGGCTCATTTGACTGTGGGATTGCTGGGGTGGGGTGGGTGGATTACTGTTTTTATCCTGGAATTTTGCTGTTTGTAAATAAATACATTGCAGGCCAGCACTTGATAAAATAATCATGAAGCCTTGGAAAAGTTATTCAAATACTGATGTGATATGTCTCTACCTACAATGAATAGAAATTGTGCATGCTATGGTCAGTGATGGAATTCAATTTTTTTTAATACCGGTTCTGTGGGCGTGGCTTATTTGGTGGGCAAGGCTTGTGGTCATGTGACTGGGTGGGCGTGCTTGGTGGTCATGTGACTGGGTGGTCATGGCTTGGTGGTCATGTGACTGGGTGGGCATGGCTTGGTGGTCATGTGACTGGGTGGGTGTGGCCAACTCAATGTCACTCACATCAAGGAGTGCCTCACCTGGCCCCTCCCCTCCCAGCCATTCCTTGTCACCCAGCCTCAACTTATCTATAGTTCGGTAAAAATGTTGTTCACCTTTTTTGACTTTATTATCTGCATACTATAGATGTACTTTCATGGACCACCGAAAGGAGGAAATGGCTCACATGCTTTACTCAAGAGTGTGATAAACAACAGGCTTTTAAGGGGCTGCCACAAAGAAAGGGGGACAATGCATTTTCCAAAGAAGCAGAATGCAAAGAAGAAGCAATGGATGGAAACTGAACAGACAGAAGCAACCTAAAACTAAGGAGAAACTTCTTGACAGTGAGAACAATTAACCAGTGGAACTGCCTGTCTCCAGAAGTTCTGGGTGCTCCATCACTGGAGGTTTTTAAGAAAAGACTGGACAGCCATTTCTCTGAAATGGTATAGGGTTCCTCTCAAGGTCCCTTCTAAGTATTATTCTGACACCTTTCTCAGGATCTCTACTCAGAGTTTGGCATCCTCAGTTTTCTTGCCTGAGCTGGGGGTTGGACTAGAAGACCTCCAAGGTCCCTTTCAACTCTTGTTAAACACATGTGTATTTTATGCACTGGACTATTGACATTGAATGCATGTAAACCCTGAAAAATATGTGGTAGCCCTGGGCAAAAGAAAGGCAGAAAAATCACTCTAGGTGTAGGGACAGTGTAAAATATTAATATATAATAAATAATGGAACAATTAAAACAGAGTTTTATCTCTCTCTCTTCCTATATTTTTCTTTCTTTCTCCACCTTCCCCCCCCCCCCACCCACCCCCCCCCCCTCTCTCTCTCTCACACACACACACACACACACAGCGAGCACTTAACAGACAAGCATTTTGGAAGCAGCTCCTTTAAATTTCTCCAACTTGGAGAAATTTTTAAAAGACCTGCTTCCAAAATGCATTTCTTTTTCATTGCAAAAGTGCTCCAAGGCTCGATTCACCCCCACCCCCTCTGTCAGACTGTACTCCTTCTCACTCCAGCACTAACTCACAAGGGGAAAGCAATACTTGCAGCGTCCATGGGGAATCCTTGGAGAAATTTTTAAAAGACCTGCTTCCAAAATGCATTTCTTTTACATTGCAAAAGTGCTCCAAGGCTTGATTCACCCCCACCCCCTCTGTCAGATTGCACTCTTTCTCACTCCCGACAGTAACTCACACCAGAAAAGTGATACTTGCAGTGTCCATGCCTTTCTTCCTTTTCCCCAGGGAGAAAAAAGGGAACAGAAAGCTAGGAGAGCGATCGCAAGTGAACTACTGGGCAACCAGATTGGGGGCATGGCCAGCCAGGGATTGCCACCAGTTTGGCAACCCATGCCAAATAACCGCTACCGGTTCACCCAAATAAATGTGAAACGGTTGAATAGCACCTCTGGCTATGGTATTCCACTTAGTTTTTCACACATGGCTTCTCCATTTTGATTTTCTTTTTGCAAAATAAATGATAGTATTATATGTCATGTGTTGTTGTTCATCTGAGGTTGTGTTTACCTACTTTTAAGAATTGGTAAGGACCAGATGATTTTTACCATGTTCTAATATGTAAAACCATAGAACTCAAAAAGTGTGTACTTTCTTTTTCACATGTCTGTAAATGAAATTACAGCATCCTAATCCATCTGGGAGAAAAAATAAAAACAATTGGGAAAGAAGATTGCAGAGAAGATTAGAGGGCATCTGCTTCCCATTGGCTCTCTCTTCCAAGTGCATCAGTTCCTTGCATTTGCCTTAAAACAGCCTGTATTTAACATACAATCAATAGTATTATTGTCAACTAAAAAGATCCTCCTTTAGTCTTTTTAGCTGCCAGAAAAAGGGAGTGGGGAAAAACAAGGTATTCTTGAAATGCCTAGATGATCACCCCCGTAGCCCAAAGTTGTTGGAGCATAAGAAGGTTATTGGAGAGCATCATGGAGACGGATGTGTCCCATTGGAGAAGTCACATCCAGAGGGTGGGGGGGAAGACCAGGGTCAAGGGGGAAATGTATGATGTAATTTAGTATCGGCTGCACCCAGCCACGCGCCAACATGGCTACTTCTAAAAAATCTAAAAAATCTGACATGTGGCTAGAGACTTTAGATTTGAATGAGGGTGGATTTGTTGGAGCCCTGACAATTATATGAAATCATGATGAAAGACTAATGTCAGGGAATAGCTGGAATAGTAGTGTAGAATTACAAATAAATCAACAACACCTGAGTGTTAATGTATTTTTTATTCATTATGCTAAAATAACATTAAAATTTTTGAATATTTATTAATTCTTGTCCAAAAAAAATAGCCAAATGTCTTTTAGATATATGCACATCCATATGCAGTTCATGTTCCAACTACTTTTCAATACAACAGTTAAATGAGAGGTTGTAATTTTTTCAATAAAGTGAAATTGGCTTATAAAGTGTCTATCTTCTGTATTACAATGTGGTATTTTCTGGAAGACTTTACATTTAAATAGAAGAACTTATATACAACCAAATGAAGTAAAATAAATTAATACTTTACAGAATCCAAAAGCAAGCAATTGTATGACTTAATTCACAGCTTAAACAAATACAATTTTTTATTTTTTTATTTTGGGATTCTGTACATAAATCTATTGTAAATTTTAGGCATTTAACATTCTACCTGTCACTTGTTCATCTTTTTAAATATTAATACAAAATAAAAACTGATTGTATTTTGTTCTCTTAGGTTTAACATTGCATATTCATTTCATATGACTTTTAAGAAATTTAGTAACTTTTTCTCCAGAATATGGCTTCTGCAAGGTAGGAGTTGTTGACTTTGTTTGAACAGCTTCAAGTCCATCACATAAGTGGCTTAGGCCAGAAAAAAATATGTTCCCTCCAGATTGGATCATCCAATTTCTCACTGTATAATGTGCTGTATAATGTGCTCAGATATTTAATATATCTTGTAATATATCAGAGGTATATATAGCACATAGCCAGAATTGGTAGTCTATTATCATCAGTCTCATTCAGGGGTGGGCTGCTTCCTGTTCACCCTGGTTTGGATGAACTGGTAGCTAATTTTACAGTCAGTTCAGAGAACTGGCAAATCCCACTCTTGGCTGGCCCTGCCCACTGCACCCCGCTCCTCCCAGGAGGCCCATTTTGGATGCCAGGTAAGTGAGCCCATGGGGAGGCTCGAGGAGGGTGAAAAGCGGGCCTCCTGGAGGCTCTGGAAAGCTGGAAATGGGCCCATTTCTGACCTCCAGAGAGCCTCCATAACCTAGGGAAACCATTTTTGCTGTCTCAGAGGTTCAAGGAATATCCCCGGAACCCAGGGAGGGTGAAAACACCCCCCTGCCATGGTGCAGGAGGCCGACTAGGCTAAGCCCACCCAGCAACCAGGCAGAGAACTGGTTGCCAAAGTTTTGAAGCCCACCCCTGGTCTCATTTGAACAGCTTTCTTGGTGTTAGTCTCCACAGACATTCACATTCATGACAACAGTTAAAATGCAACACTCTGTACAATCTACTCATATATCAATTAAAGTTGGGAAACCAAATATAAATAGTGTTACTGACGAAATGTTACATTTGAACAAAGTGCATACATCCTCCTCCCTTCATCTCTCTATACAGTTCCAAATATTTTCTGGCAATTAGGAACCCACAGGGCTGGAGATAAAAAAGTAAGAGAAACCAAAAGAAGGCCTGTGCTCCCAGTTGAAACCTAAAAGATTATGAAGATCCATCTAAGCCCAAAAATTTCCTCTCTCCCTAGAAGCTGTTATTAAACTATAATCCAAGTTTATTTTTTGCTTTGTGAAAGACCTTCACATATTTCTATTATTTGCTTTTTGTTTACGGTAATGAGTTTCAATCTCCCGTTGGAAGACCAGCAGGCCTAGCTGGTCATGAGAAGCTTCATTCATAGCTTTAGACTGGATGCACATCTTGTATTGTTCTGGTGTCAGCTCATCTAAGCAATGCTTTTCATGCCAGAGGTGGAAAAGTCCCCGGACTGGTGTCCTGATAACCATGAGGTTGCTGTGAAGGTATTTACGGTATAGTTGTACATCTTCTCCTCCCCATCCTTTAATGTCAAGGTCAAACCCTCCTAATGAGAAAAGAGAGAGTGGCAGCATTTACAATAAATAGAAAGATGAAGTAGGCTTTGATTGAAAAAGAACTACAGATTTGGGACATTCATTCTGCCTGCAGGCATTCATGAGTAGGTATTCTGACCCAAACCCTTTTTCAATAAAACAAACATGAACCAAAGAGAACAGAAACCTTTTAATGATTCTTATGAATCCCTGGGTAAAAGGCTGCTGCAAACCAATTAACTTTGATAAGCACAAGCTTCGCCAAAACTGTGTGAGTCTGCCAAGAATAACAGATAAGAAATATATCACAACACAAGAGTCTTCAAATACCAAAATACTGCAATATCCATGAGGCTGAGTTTCAAAATGTCTTTGCTTCCTGCAAAGAATGTTTGCTTCACAGCTGACTTTTATCTTCTTGAAGGAGGGACCATTATCTTGCAGCCTTACACCCAAGTCACCTGTGCTGCTGCAACTGCTCTTTCCTGCAAGCAACCCTGCGCACACACATACTTGGCACAGCCTCCTCGGGAACCTCATCACTGCTGCCAGCCCCCAAAATCTCTGAAGGCAGCAGTCCACTCCCTAACGATCCTGGCCCTCATCTGAGTCCTCTCTCTTCTCAGCCGTCCGCACCTGCTGCCATCTAACCACAAGAGTAGGCAAGAAGAGATGAAATATGTATTGCGATGTCACAACACAAGTTCCACCTCTTGCATACTTGCATGTTTTGTGGCAATAAAGTGCGAAAGGGCAGAGCTTGTGTTGTGCTGTCACAATGTATTTTTCACACTTAGTCACCATTATGGTTTGGGAATGGATGTCTTTGTTCTGCACGCTGCAGTTATTTCAATGGTTTCATATCCCAAAACAGGCAGTTTTTGCTTTCTGCTCATTCAGCATTTATTCAAAGTTATAATACCAAAAACAACTAGTTTGGTTATAACTAGTCCTCAAAGTTGTAACCAGCACAGTATCCATGAGGTCACCTGAATGCAATTCAAGTGCTTGGCTATTGGCTTGCATTGATGGCTGCAGGGATTGTAGTTCACAAATGATTGACATTTGTGACCTTTGCAGTTGGTTTTTGATAAGCAAAGGCAATGTAGAAGCCACGGGAAGTTGTGAGTCACAGTCACATGACATCATGCTTAATGACTGCGCCACTTAGTGACTGAATTAGAAGTCCATATTGCCATTGGTCAGTGAAGACTACCTATATTAACAAAACCATCATGTTTTATCAGCCCCCAATATCTCCCATATCTCTCTGTTTATTTTGTTTCAAGGTTAAAAGCAGCATAAGGATATTATTTTGTTTTAAAATGCATCTTTGTTGGTTTCTTAGTTCATGTGTACACATTCAGCAGAAGTTCACATTCCCTCATATTTTAGTCAGAGACAAGAACTTCACATTGTTAATATACTATTTAGAACAAGTAATAAAAGTGGACTTGTTTTTTTGCGATACTGAAAAAAAATATTCCATTACATATTTGAATGTTTGCTTTGAAACAACAATAAATAACTCAATAGAAAAACTGAATTGGGTATTGTTTAAAACAAAGAAGCCATAGGAACATTATACTCTGAGTAAACATTATCATTATACAATAAAGTAAGATATAAACTATTTTCAGATTTATAGTCAGAAAAGTGCAATATTTTATAGCAACAGATACAGGATATGTACAAAAATACCCCTGAATTAATTTGCAAAGTTCACCTTACTTTCAATATTTCCAAGCTAAGAGTTTTACTAATTTATTAATAACAAAATATGGAGTTCCATGAAATTGTCATGAATTTGGAAAGTAAATATTAGTCTAAATGAAAAAGGATTCCTGGATATTTTTAAAGATATAATAAAAATAGCAAGTTACATTAATAAAAATTGAGAGAGTTCTGGAAGAGAGAATATCCATCAGAAATCCTTTTTCAAGAATGTTTATATCTGAGGTTTTTCTTTCTTTCAGTGCGTATGTTTTATTTAACCAATGGTTATAGATTGTGAAGGTAGATTGGTTTTCTTAAATAATAAATATACTAATATTAAAAGTTAATTCAAAGTGATTATGTAGCTGTGTACACCTTTCCCATACCAAGAAATAGCGTGAAATGTGTTAAAAATAAACAACAACAAAAAATTCAGCACTAATGCCTGGCAAATTTAAGCATAATGTCTTACACTTTAAAATCGCTTTCGTGCCAAAAGCTGAGGCGGGATAGGGGAAATGCTGCAATCAGTTCATAGTTGAAGAAAAAGCCATTTTGAAATTTATTTTTCAAATGGAGACAAAGTTGTGCCCACAGGTGGGATTCAGCCGGTTCTCACCTATTCGCCCGAACTATTAGTTAATTGCTTGTGCAGTTCAGAGAACCAACTAAAAATAAAGTGCTAGAGAGGTTTTTTCTCTCTCTCTCCTTCAGTTAATAGCTCCGGGCAGACAGTGAAGAATCACTTAACAGTTGTATCAGGAATGCAGCTGATACACTGCTGAATTAAATCAATAAACAACAGAAACTGACAGCATTAGGGCAGGGAAACCCATCAATCACCCATCTAGGGATGGGATTAGCCTCTTCCCTTCAGGAAGGACAAGATTACAAACGCTTTCATTATAAAGAGTATAAAGTGACACTTCTGTGATCAGCTGATACTCCCTGGAGTTCCCCAAGACCTTTTATAGCTGCTGCCGTGTTGGCTACTTCTTGTTTCTTCCTGGGAGGAAAGATACAGGAGGGGACAATGATGCAGCTTGATTATAGAGGCTGTGAATTTAATGCATGTGTGGTTCAGCCAGCTGTATTGTTTCTGCTGTGAAGCACCCAATTTAGAACATAGAGAGCATAGAATAGTAAAGATGGAAGGGTTATTCGCTTTTGGCAGCATGCCCAGGCTTTCAGTTAGCATGAATGGCTGCTTTTAGTTTCCGTCTCAGCTGTTGCATTTGCTTTGGGGTTGACTGGTTTTTAAAAGGGGAATGGTTGTTTTAAGTTTTCTGCATTGTTTTAGTGGTTCCTGGCACTGTCTTTTTCGGGTGTACTTCCCTCACTCATTTTGAAAGCCTCTAGTGTTGGAGCACCCACAACTTCTGAAAGAAAGGTATTCCATTGGTTGATTGGTCTCATCCTTAGGAAAGTTCTCCTTAGCCCTAGGTTTCTTCTCCCTTTGGTTACTTTCCATCCATTGTTTCTTGTTGTGCCTTTTGGTACTTTGGAAAATAGATTGATTCCTTCACTTTTATAGGAGTCTCAAATTTCCTGACAAAACAATTAATCAGTGGAACAACTTGCCTCCAGAAGTTGTAAATGCTCCAACACTGGAAGTTTCAAAGAAGAGATTGGATAACCATTTGTCTGAAGTGGTGTAGGGTTTCCCGCCTAAGCAGGAGGTTGGATTAGAAGACCTCCAAGGTCCTTTCCAACTCTGTTATTCTATTCTATTCTAAATATTGGAATAATGCTATTTTATTGTGCTATTTTATTGTGAGTTGGACTAAGGAGAAATTTCCTAAGGGTGAGATCAATCAAATTGGCCACACCCACCCAATCACATGACCATCCAGCCACACCCACCCAGTCATTAGGGCAGAAAACCAGTTGTTAAATTGTTTGAATCCCACCACTGGTTGTGCCTTTTATTTATTAATCATTTTTAAGGACTACTAATCTTTATTAAGCTAAAAGAGGTTCTCTTTAACTATAGCCTGTTATTCCTTTTTGAAGATCTGTGCCATTTGAGGTTCTTCTTGGGAAGAAACAAGGAAGAAGGCTGTTAAGGCAAGTTAAAATAAAGAAGTGTGGACTATCTTTTTAAAAAGACAGTGGAGAAATATGAGAGCAGAAAGTTATGGATTTAGTTCATTATTTTTATAATTTGTAGCTTGGTCTTCTTTGCTGTGAATGGCTAAAAGTAAAACTTTCTGATTTTTATGATTCCTGATTTGTCAGCAATTCTTAGATGACTTATAAAAGAGCTACTCTTTGACTAAAGAGGAGCAAATGATTAGAGATCATTACAGAACAGCTATGCTCCAAGGATGTTAAAAAGGGTACTGCATATAAAATGGAAGATGGTTTTATGTTTTTAATATTTTATTTGTATGTCTTAAAAAATAAAAACTTTTTTTTTAAAAAGTACTCAAACTACTTCAGAGATGCAAATATGTGTAGAACGTTACCAAACTACTGAGGCAATTTCACAAGTAGCTGACAATGCAGAGGAGCCAACTGAAGTTTTGGAATATAAACCTGACACCAATTTTTATTATGATTGTTTAAATAGAAGCCTCCCAAGCACAATTGAAAGAAGACCTCCAAGAAAATGTGCAATTTTTAAAAAGACAAGTTTTGGACTTTTTCTTCATGGATATTAACAAGGTTGAAAAATCCTTGAGAAAAAGAAAACCTTATAACTATTTGATAAATATTCCATAGAAGAAAAACATTTTATTCCATGAAGACAAGCTGAAAGGGGTGACTTAAATTTAATGAATCAATTGGAATTAAGACAGATTTTCATCAGTTTGACATTTGTAATTGAGTCTTAATCTAAAGTTTGAAAATTTATTTTTTTCTTTATATATAATGCTTTAGTAATTCTACAGTTTGTAAAATATTATTGAAAGTGTATTGAAAGTATCTATGCTAAGAGAAAGTTAAAGAAAAAGATGTATTAGCTTAAAAAATGTAAAGCTTTAAAAAGGTTGTATACAAGAAAAAAAATATTCTATGAGGATAACAGAGGGAGTAATCTAAAGTTAATGAGTTAATTGGAGTTTGTTGGAATTTTATTGATCTGAAAATGAACTTTAAATTATGTTAAGAGGAAGTTTAAAAAGATGTATTAGAATGCTTTAATTCTACAAATGTTTTTAAAGAAAGCTTAGAGTTTAAAAATGAATGATTTTCCCTTTTAAAAAAGGGAAAAATATTTTTCCCTTTAATTTAAAGTATCTGAAAGAATACAGTAAATGTTGTTAATATAAATTGTGATGGTTTATAAAAATTACTAAATGCGAAAAGAAATACATATTATTTCATCAGCAAGGAAGATAAAGCGGTAATGGTTAAACTGATTGTTCTAGTCAAAGAGGAAAATATACTTATGTTTTTTATTTAGATATCATTTCTGGATTTTGTGCTTGTGATGAAAAAAAAGGAAACTTTTACTTTGGTTTTGCTGATTAGATGGATTTGTTATAGGCTAGTTACTGTATTTTTTGCAGTATAAGACACATTTTTTCCACCCCCAAAAGTGGGTGGTAATGTCTGTGTGTCTTATACAGCGAATGTTGCTGAAGCCCCGCCCACTGGCCACCCCGCCACCTTTTGACCTTTGCCTCCAGCAATTTGCCTCCTCGCAGCAAACAGCAAACAGCAAATAGCCTGTTTCAACTTCAGCACAGTCTGATTAGCACAAACAGCTGATTGTTGGTTGGATTGGCCTCCTGACGATCAGCTGTTTCAGGCTGCAGGGATTGCCATTGGCTATTGCTGCCTCCATGCACCCCATTTTCCACCCATTCTGATTGCCCACCGCCTGGAACGGGGCAAAAATGGGGTGTGCTGAGGGCAAAAACAGCAGCAATAGGCAATAGTAATCCCTGCAGCCTGAAACAACTGATTGCTGGGAGGGAGATCCAACCGACAATCAGCTGCTTGTGTTAATCAGACTGAGCTGAAGCTGAAACAGGCTGTTTGCTGTTTGTTGCAAGGAGGCAAATTGCTGGGAGGCAGAGGCAGAGCCTTATTTTCCTCCCTAAAAGATAGGTACGTCTTATACTTCAGAGCATCTTATACTCTGAAAATACAGTATATACTAAAGTATAAAAGTAAAAAGTTGAGGTTATAATCTTATCTTGTACTGTGCTAAAAAGAGTCAGAAGTCAACATCTTTTTCCTTCTTCCCTTGTACCCCATATTTTCTTTCCTTTCTTTTGTCTTCACTTAATTTCCTATTTTTTATTTTGCTCTGCATTTTATACATTGATAAAACAATAAAAGATATATATGTAAAAAAGCATAGTGTCTCACCAATATTGATGTAATCAGAACGAAATTGACAAGTCATTCCAAACCCAAAGTCTCTCCAAAATCCTGTCTCTTTTTTTATTACCTGGAAGAAACAAGATGTTTTAGCTGCAATTAAATAATCCCTTTTGATTTAATTCTTATTTTTGGCCCAGTGCAAATCTGCAGTGGATCTCCTAATCAATGAGAGGCACATCCTTTAAATTGTTACATCCCCCATGTTGCCAGAAAGGATTTATAAAAATGAAAATTGCCTTATCTAGAGAAAAAAAATGCTAAAAATGCTATTTTTATAAATAAAAATAAAAGTGGCTTCCATTAAGTCTCTGAAACTTAAACTACTAGTTTAAAGTGGTCCAACTTGTATAGAATTAATGTATTATATCTGGGCTATCAGCTTCCAGTAAACATTTTTAAGCAGATCCGTTCTCCAAGAACTTTCCAGACTTCTTCAAAAGCAGTCTTATGCAGAATGATTTGAAAAGATCTCTTTTCCAAGTATGCTTATGTCTGAAGCTCAAATCTAATTTCTTAAGGAAATTTGCAGCTACAGTATAATTTAGAATGGAAAAAGGCTCTAACAAATACTGCTGAATTTTAAAGAATTTTTAGTCTGTGCATTTGGTTAAACAACCAATTACCTACCAGCTGTTGTTTTAAGGGTGGAATGGAATCATGACGTCCATATATTAGACTTGGGTTGTACTGGCTGAAAAGAACAGGATAGAATACTTTCTTTCCTAGAAATAAGATTTGGAAAAGATTATGGTCATTTTTTGCTAAATCTGCTCTTGAATACTTTGAAGAAAGTAGATTTCAGAGCAGGCGTGGGATTCTACTGGTTCGGCTGAACCGATAGCTCCAAAGGTCATCTGGTTCACTCCGATGATCTGCTGTTGGGCCTGCCCGCCCACCTGGGCTCCCATACTGACCTTTATTTCCTGTTTTTGAAGCACAGCTGTTTTGCGCGGCACAAATTGCTGCGCATCATCTGTTGAAGACACAGGGAGAGTGCAAGATTGCAGGTGAGTAGGAAGCCTCTGCGCCTATGCAAAGGGCGTGTTTGGCATGCACACACAAAGTGTATGCGCAAACGCAAAGTGTGCCCATCAAGCCACACTCACCGAACCAGTGGTAATCCACTTTGAAACCCAATGTGTCCGCAGTCCTTAAAATTAAATTCTCATCATCCATATTTAGGTTTTATTATGCCTTAGCTTGCTCTATTTCCAGTATGGATTTATGGGATTGGGATTTTCTCAAAGATGCTTTTTCAAAAGCTAACTGGATTGTTTCTTTTCTTGAGGAAGAAGAAAACATTTTGTTTCTCATCCAAGAAACTTCATCAGTTGTGATAGTGGGGAGATGGAAGAATGAGTTCTGACCAGATGTTTTGGGAGGGGGAGATGCAAAGATTATATTTCTTTGCAGTCATTGTTAGCACTCTCTGAGAGTTCTTGAGGCCACTTAGGGGTTTATCTGTGCCCTCAGAATCACTTGAATTAGAGTGCAAATTGGTTGTGGAATCTTCTGGAAACTGCTTCAAGGGCTGCATTGTAGACTGTAGATAGGTATTATTCCTCTTCTTCTGTTGAGAGAAGGCTGCTCAATGTTAAAATAAATGGACTCTTTTATTCCTCTTTGAAACCAATGATCCTCTCTATCCAAAATGTGGGTTTTGCTGTCTTCAAGAGTGGCCTTTAATGAACTGCTGAATCTTGTCCTGATGGGTTTGATCTAATATGCTGCCATATGCTTGTGAAGTGGTTCACCAATGTACAGGTTGGCACGTTTCACTATATTGTGTTGTATATATATTACATTACACTCAATTTGTGTCTAAGTGTTTTATCCTTGAAGTGGACAAGCTTCTGCCTTAGCGTGTTCTTGGGCTTAAAATGTACATGTATGTTGTATTAGTTGAATAGTCTCCTGAGCTTTTCAGATATTCCTGCAACATATGGAATGACAACATTGCTATATTTGTTGTTCTATTCTTTGTCTATAATGGAGGAGCTCCTGCTGGATCTTTTTTCTGGATTTAGGCTTATTTTCTCCTTCAGCTGGAAGTCTAGCAATGCCTAGCTTTGATGTGATTTCTCTTATCTAATTTATTCTATTTTTATCCACTATTTATTATTTTATCATTTTTATTTACTCATGTTCCCTGCTCTGTTGGGAGGGCAGGATCCTTGGTATACTTGTGAGGAGCTCTGCCACTGTTTGCATTAGGACTCGTTTCTTCTCCACTTTGTTTTAGCTCGGCCTCTCGGTTTGAAAGCTCCTGCTCCCTTTTGTCTGGCTGCTGCGGGTTGTCGCAATCTTCCAACGGTTGAGGGCGTCACCCCCCCAAGTTGAGAACAAAGGCTTATCTAAAACTACGACCCCCAACCAATCCTTAAATGAGCCCACCCTTACAGAACTTTTGGCTCAGCAATGTTTCTTGATCGCAGAAACTACAGCAAGCATTCAGCTCCAGCTTGATAAAATAATAAGTACTTTAAACTACTCAGTTTCCTGGACTACCAGTGGGTGCCCTGGGCTGACCGCTCGGCAGCCTGATGCGGCAGCAGGGTTCTCCCTGCCAAGCCTCAGCAAAAGCACTGGCCAACGAAATCCTACCAATAGTTCAAACTTTACATCTTTTCATGCAGTCACCTGGTCTTACAGTCAAAACAGGTGGCCCTCATCATTAATCCCATTAATGACAACTTACCTCACTGGGGTTCAACACAGCTGGAGAGGGGCCATATATTACAGTTATTGGGGCTAAAAGCTGATGATTTGAAGAAGGTTGAACTTTCACCCTCTCCTGAACTCTGCACTAGAGTACTACTCAGTTTTGAAAACTCTAACACCCTAAAACTATTTTTCAGAAGAGGATCCATGTTAAGATCCTTCGGCATTCTGCCAAGAAGAGTCTTCAAAGATATGTTGATTAAGCCACTCTTGAGTAATCGTCAATTTGTGAGTGGCAGGAGATTTATTGCCCCCAAAAGATCCTCAGCAGCACATATTAATGTGCCGACATTGAATGCCATCTCGGATACTACATCATGTACTAATTATACACCTATTCCTGCAAAACCTCCAATTGGCATCCTCTCTGATGGTAGCCTGACTGTTCCTCCTACAACCGGTCAAATCAACCCCCTACAGTTAGTAACATCTTACCGGGAAGCTTCCCTTGACTTGATCAGCTGGGAAAAAATGGCCCCAAAGGAAGCGACACCAGCCCAGGGCACCCATGATTCCTTAGTAAATAAGCCCCAGGTCAGTGCCTTTCGGATTCCATCTATTTATGAGACTGATTTATGTCAAGACAATTTCTGGAACCAGGAGGAGACACAGCTCTTCCGACTCCTTTGTGCGCTTCCACAACCAGAAAGGGCCCAAATCATAAACCGTCTGGATGCAGTTAAATCCAAGCTCTGGAGTCTTTCACTACCTGATAAGTATTCCCTTGGACTCCAGGGAGTCTATACTGATTTACCAACGGAAGCTCGCTTGGCGCTCTCTCCAGAATGTCTAATTCATAAATTTGAAGATCCAGGGCTACTTCAAACTCCGTCTGTTGATGCTGCTGAATACTTGCCAGCTAAGCAACCAATGAATGCCACAAGTATGAACTGGAATGTGCTTAGAGCCCTACAGCCCCATGAAGAAGGCTCGCCTCCCCTCCCTCCTTCCCTGCCTCTGCCTCTTAAGAGGATGACCCTGCCACTTAACAATGGGTGTATCTTTTCAGATCCGAAGGGCGCTCTGGGAAAAATTAATCACACAGAATGACTATTAAATCTGGCAAACCCCCCTGCACACTTAAGTGCCTTTCATGGAACATAGCATGTTGGGGGAGAAGGTGTGGTACCACAGAATTCGCCAACTATATTCACTCATTTGATGTGGTCCTGCTTCAGGAGACCTGGGCATGCGATAAGATATCCCTTACAGGGTTTACAGTCATTTCCTTGGCTGCCACCAGACAATCTACGACAGGAAGGCCTAAGGGTGGTCTAGCTTGCTTGGTCTCTACTGCTTTGAAAGTGGAGACAGCGGAGCTGCCCCCCTGTGGCTCTTTAGCTATGGCGTTCCTAATTAAGAGAGGACGCAGCAAACTGTTAGTGTTCAATGTTTATCTTCCCCCAATGATGAGGCAAGCTGATACTAAGGCTCAATTGGGCATGCTGGAGAATTACATTACTTGTATGGAAACTAAATTCCCAGTGCTGTACATCCTTATAGGGGGCGACTTTAATGCCCAATTGAGAGTCCAAGTTCCCCCATCGATTGAGGCACTCCACTCCCAAGAAACCCTCCAGGCCATAGGACACCTGATTTCAGCCAGACATTCTAAGGATGAATTAACAAATTTTGCTGGCATTCAATTAGCCCTTTTAGCAGCCCAACACAATAAGATAATTCTTAATGGGAGTACCCTAGATGATCTAGCTGGTGAGTTTACTTTTAGTTCCTCACGTGGAAGTAGTGTTATTGATTTTGTGCTGGTATCCCAGCTTCTTAGAAAGGCAGTCCATGCTTTTTATGTGGACTGCCTTACGGAGAGCGACCACTACCACCTGGTTACAATCATTGGGCTTTCCTCAAATATACACCTACCTAGGCGTCCCCAGATATTAGATCCCTGTGTGGTCTCGTATACAAAGAGGATCAAATGGTCTTCTAATACTGAAAGAAAGTTCCACTCTTTTTTATCATCTCCAGAGTGTCTCAGCCTATACAATCAGGCCCTAACAAGTAGTGGCCCAAGGACAATCTCGGCCTTTGAATCACTAATTAATAGTGTTCAAAGGCAGCTAGGACCTGTGCCTAGGCCGAGTGGTCCATATCATTCAAGAAGTAATTCTTGGTTTGACAAAGAGCATCTGATGCTCATGAACCAGATTAATTGGGTTTACCTGCTCTATCATAATTGAGGGGATAAATGCCCACCAGAGCACTACTATCGCTTGAAGCAGAAGTATAAAGGACTAATTGCTAAGAAAAAGAAAGCTAAAGAGAGAGAGAAGTGGGATCTACTTCTCCTCTCCATCCAGCAGAATACTTGATTATTTTGGCAAATTGTTGCCAGCTCCTTGCCGGGTCATTAAGAACTCCTTCTCTGCTGTATTTCCAACAGAGATTGGGAAAACCATTTCTTGGCAATTTTCCAGGCGTCAACAAGTTCGACTGTACTTGGGCCACAGCTGCCTCCTGCAGTTCCTGACTGGCAACCCATGACTCATGCTGAGATTACCAAGCTTATCTCTGAACTCAAGTCAGGCAAAGCCCCTGGCCCTGATGCTATACCCCCTGATCTGCTAAAATCCAATCCCGAGTGGTGGATTCCTCTTAGCAAGACTCTTCACACATATCAATATCTCTGGCAGGATCTTTACCTCCTGGAGCTTAGCAATTATTGTTCCAGTTTTTAAATGAGGAAATAGGAACAATCCAGCTGACTATCGCCCCATAAGCCTGTTCTCCATCACTGGGAAACTGTATGCTAAATATCTCCAATGTAGACTCCTCACTTGGGTTGAAGAGTCCAATATTATTGGTGCTGAACAGATTGGGTTTATAGCGGGCTGTGCCACACTGGACCACTGCTTTGTCTTAGTGCACCTGGGTTGATAAATATACTACCATACCAGGTGCAAACTTTTTACTGCTTTTATCGATCTAAAGTCAGCATTTGACTCAGTCCCTAGGGGACTATTATGGTCAAAACTGCTCAAAAGTTCTATTGATAGATGTCTTCTGTTCCTAATTAGATCCTTGTACAGCCAGACCTCTAGTCAGGTCAGGTGTGGTCTGCAGGGAAAACTTTCAAATCCTATCCCGATTAAGAACGAAATGAAGCAGGGTTGTGTTCTGGCTCCTCTTTTAATTTATTCTTATCTGATTTGGCCGTTCACATTGGACGTATTGAGTCCCACACCCCAAAGTTGTCAACTACGACGATCCCCTTCTCCTTTATGCTGATGATGCGGCCCTCCTTTCATTGTCAAGGCCAGGTTTGAAAAGATTACTTTCTGCATTCGGGTCCTACTGTGCTAAGAACCACTTGTCTATTAATTATGACAAATCCAAAGTATTGATGCTCTCTAGAGCCTGGAAATTGTATAACTGGGCTATCAATGGTAATGCTGTTAAGCAGGTTTTCTATTTTAAGTATTTAGGTATTCATTTCAGAACACCGGTGCTTGGACTAGACATCGAACCCAGGTGCTGAACTCGGCCTCCTGTAGTCACCAGCAGATTTTAAGATTTTTTTATACCCAAGGACGCCAGTTTATTCCTTCTGCCCTGAGTATTTACAAAGCCAAAACTGGTTCAAACTCTTTACGGAATTCCCATATGGATACGGGGCTTCAAGGATTGTATTGAAAGAATCCAGGCTGTCTTTTTTAGAAAACTTCTGGGTCTTCCTCCTTGTGTTGGTTTTGCTCTGATGTACCAGGAACTGAGCACTTGATCAGTCGAATGTATGGCATGGATTAACACCTTTAAATGGTGGTTTTGGGTGCTCTTTCTGGCAGTTCCTGGTAGCTACCTCTCCCTGGCATTTGCTGACTCTCATATTTCTCATTGGGAGAGGGAGTTGATGAAGAAATTACACCTGCTAGGTTTTACGGGGGATGCCCTGGGAGATTATGGCCTTAAGGATGCCCAATTTAGGGTATTCCAACAGCTTGTGGACATTGAGTTGCAATATCTATGAGCCAGAGCTAATGAAACTTGCTCGCCTCTGATCTTCAGCCAATTTAATAATTACGGACCGAGGATGGCTTCCTATTTTTACACTCCAACCATTCCCAAGTATAGAAGAGCTTTCTCCCTGGCTCGCTTTAATCTTCTGCCCTCAGCACTACTGGATAGGCTATTTAAGAGGCTCCCGATTAATGAGCGGCTATGCCCCTGTGACAGAGCTGAGGTTGAAACTGTGGAGCATGTCCTTTTATATTGCCCTATGTATAACGCAAGTTACTGTCTCTCCTTGAAACAGACCCTTCTAAATCCAATGTTAGTAATTTGTTCTTATATTGTCTAGGGGATGGCTCCTCATATATCACTTCTTTGGTTTCCAATTTTTTTTTAAGAGCTGTGACCATCAGAGGAGAACTCTGTAATTCCCCTTAGTCAAGTTTTGGTGACCAATTGTTCATGATTAATTTCCCCATGTTCTTTTGTTGTACTTGTGTTTTGGTCTGTGACCACAAATAAATTATTATTATGATTATTATTATGATTAGATGATGATGATGATGATTTTCTAATTTAGTTTTCAGCTAGTCCTGGGAAATGTTCCAGAGACAAAAGGAAACATGGATTCAGCTGTTTGCATTAAAAAAAAAATGAAAATCACCTGAGCAGGGAACTTTCCAAATTGCATCTCAAAATTTGATGTCCATTTACCTGGATCAACAGTCCAGATTTTTCTTTAACTGTTTCAATGGCTGAATCACTCAGAATGAGCTCCCATCCTCCCTCATTATTACAATTATTATCACATTTATGGGGAAGAATACTTTCCATCATCAGTATAGATGATGGCTATATACATAGTCTAATTTCTGAAATGTATAAAGGAGAAATTAGCTGAGTTTTCAGTTATAGTTAGTTTTGCTAGAGAAAGTTGGCAGAAGGCTCTGAGTTGGCTCTGAAGGAATATATGTATGTAATATATCTTCAATGTTAAAAAGAATAACAAACTGCTTATGGTGTAAACTGAATTTCTGTCCATCATATCATGAATGAATGACTATACCTGGTTGTGTGTTTAATCTACATGCGTTCAGGAAGTCTGCTGTGAAATATATATCCACATCACAGAAAAAAAGTACAACATTGGTTCCTTTCCAAAATCTTGCACCCACGTCCAGACCTTTCCCCCTGGAGAACACTTCATCCAGCTGAATAAATGTGTAATTTTTGAAATTGGCTGATCTGTAAAGAAAAAATATAGTTAAGTTTTATCTACCTTTCACGTTATCATTTGTAGACAATTTTTTATTCTAAGAAAAAAAAGAGTCTTAGGGATTAATACATTTATCATGACTGACTCTTATATGCAAAAAAGGAAACGCTCCGTCTAAATGGCTTGGGTCATCATTTAGCTCTATTGTATGCTGCCCAGAGTTGCTTATTTGTGAGAGACGTGGCTATATAAATTGGTTAATAAATAAATACAATAAAAACAAATGCTTTATCATGATATATTAGTTGGTTTTTAATGCCACATTTTAATTTATAGTAAGCAACAAGTTCTGTTAGTTGCCAAAGTTTCCTTCTGAAATGCCTCAGTAGCATTCAGTTGACTTTTGAAAGGAAAATATGATGTAAAACAACTGACTGTTGAAATATGGGATTGGATCCAGACTTCTTAGAGCAATCAAGTGAAATCTGTAGAGGTTGTTTGCTCCTGTTGATTGCAATAGATCTAATTTAACAATGGTATAGTGTGGACATTGCATTATTATTGGAAAAGGTAGATGGGTGTAAGAATTTATTCAAAAATCTGTTGTATAATCTGCAGTGTAATGGAAGCTGTATAATACAGAGAAATCAACAGGACAGCTTGCCTCCTTGTGGCTGTTCCATAGCTGGAGGTTTCCAAAACAAAGAAAAAACAGGTAATGCCTTTTGAATTGAAAACTTTAGTTGGATGATGTATTTTGCTGAAAACAGAGGATATGGTTGTTCCCAGATTTTAATTAATGTTAGAGGGGGAAAAAAACTAATTAAAATTTTACTTTTGTCAGTGCAGGACAAATTATCTGAAAGATGATGATTTGTCAATAAGAGTTTTGAGAAGAATTTTGCTTATAGCATTTCCAGTATTGTTTAAGGATTGTCTAAACACACCCAGACTGCTCAGCGGTTCTTTTCTGTTTAGAGGAGATTAGAATTACAAGGCAAAGGTTTCAGCCAAACAACAATAGGACTTCCAGATTATCCTAAGACTTGCCACTTCTTTTTTAAAAATGTTAACCATTAATGAGAAGAGTAGAATCAGGAAATCCCCCTTTTCTTTTTCTTTTGGTTTCAAAATTAAAAATGACATTAAGTCAAATGCTTTGCTCACTTGGATATGTTTTCTAGGATTCCTTTGACTTTGCTCATTTGTTCACTTCCAAAATACACTACGGTCAGGTGAATCCTTCCATCTTGCTGCATAGCCACCTCCCTAAAATAGACATCAAGTGGAGGATACTAAGCATATTTTCTTACAACTTTAATTTGTAACGCCTTATATATTCACACTGCACCTCACCTTCATGCATTGACTTATCTTTATCTATACCTGTACCCACAACACAGATATGTAAAACATTTTGAGATTGATTGTTCTGATCCCAAAATGGCTTGCTAGAAACCTGGAACACCTGTCCTTACCAAAATGTTCCAACATTGATATTGATAATTTCAAACTTAAAGAAATTTTTTGTTTGTGCCTTTGAATCTACGTTGAATCCTGGCAAGTGCCTGAATAATGCCCTGCCGTTTCTTGGCAAGATTGCAGAAGTTGCCAGCTTCCAAGAATGAAACAGAGTAACTACCCAAGTTCACCCAGCTGGCTTTGTGCTGAAGAAAGGACAAAATTCACTGTCTCCTGGTTTCTATCCTAGTGCCTTAACCACTGCATCAAATTCACTTTGTATAAAAAGTAGCCCAACCTAAAAATCAATTTTTTAACTTTCATTTTTAATAAAATGTTTATTAGACAGATTTTTTTCAATCTTTAAAGCAAGACACACCATCTATTTGTTTAAACGTTTCATGAAATATTAACAGGACTTTTAAAATCTCAAAGTGAATCTGACTGCATAGATCACTGAGTAGCTGCAGACCCACTATTTTCAGTATTTGAACTCACAGATAAGTGATTTACTCTGATATTTACGCCTTCCCTTACAAATCTGCCTTGTATGCATGTAGTCTTAATGCAAATTGTTAAAGAGATTCTTGAAGTCTGTTACAGCAAATGGAGAAAGCCAATATAGTGGAAGCCAAATGGTGAGAGGCCAAACCTATTTCTCTCTTATATTTCCAAACCATAATTAGATATACATGCTCCATTTTCACATCATACTGGATTAAGCTATGGTATGTTTAAATATAATTGGTTCAGTAAGGCACCAGTGGTTTGGCACATATATCATGGCAACCAAATTACAATGAGCTGAGGTCACATAACATGTTAAGCCAAACCAAACAAATAACATTACATGAATCAGACAAAGGACTGGGTAACAGCACTTTGGAATGCACAGTGTCTTTCCTTGAAGGTTAATTTATCTCCAATTAGAGACTGCCTAGTTTCAATTGACTCTGGGAGACAGAGAGCATAAACAATAGAACAACGTAACATAACAAATATACAATTCAGAAAAAAGTATAGCAATACAGAGATGACAGTTCCAGTCAACACAACATATCCAATATGTAACAAGGGTATCAAACATCTAGCTCAAAGCCTGGGAGAAGACCCAGATTTTAAAAGCCCTCTAGAATGTCATCATGGTAGGAGCCTCATATATCTCAGGCAGAATCTCATTCCAGGCCAACACCACAGGATATGGGTGATTCCCTGAAGTAACCAAGCTCTACGCCACATAGGGCTTTATAGAATAAATCAGCACCTTGAATTACACTCAGAAGCAAACTGGCACCCAGTGCCTGGTATGTGGGAAAAATTTTGGGAGACAGGGAGAAGAGATCTGCCTAAGGAATTGTCAGGTAAGAAACAATATAGCCTGTAGCTGGATAGCGGGTGGAGCTTCTTTGGCTGTAAAGGAGACTGTAGGAGCATTATAGTGGATGTTAACTTTACCAGGCAGATGAGACAGGAAACACAACCAGATAAGTTAATTATATATATTGTTCAGCTACATTAACCAGATCTTGCAAGTCAGGAAGTACAGTTTCTGCATCATCTCCTGAATAAGTAGTATATGGATAAATGTGCCACCTCCATCCTGACTCTGTCACAGATTCTCCACAAGTACAACTAATAGTATCTCTGTATTGAATCTCTGCTTGAATCTGATCAGAAGGGTCTAATAATCTGCTTCTTCCTGGGTTTTTATTAATTGCAGACTGACTATCTTCTCAACAGTGATCCCTAAAAAAGTAAAAAATTGGAGACAAGGCAATAATTATTCAAAACGGTTGGATCCAAGGATGGCCACCTCCTTGCTCAAAGAGGCCAATACAAGCACAGACTCAACCATAGGTCAGCTTCCTGGCTACTTTCAAGAGGGAGTCTGGTCCAGATGAACAGAGAACCTTGTCTACTTCCCCAAGAATCACTGGTTCAAACTCCCATCTCAGTTCATACCACAAATCAGACTCCAGCCATCTTGGAAAGATTTGCCTAGCCAGAGTTCAAGTCAGAGCATGTCTGGGGAACTTTCACCAGAAGCCTGAGTATTTCTCACTGGTTTGATATGAGTAAGAGTTCTGCTGACTCAGACATTTTGTTTTCACAAATCCTCCTAATCATGGCTAACTTAGCCATAACAAATAATTCTGGGTGATAAAAGTTTGAGATCATGCTTTACATGCTTAGTCTCACACTAAAACTAAGTCCAATATGTTAACCAGTAATGTAATTTGCTACAAGAAAAAATGTTGGCTAATTATGTACTATCATGTTGTTGTCTACGTTTACCTACATCATAGATAAATATTTCAAATTAATACTCTTTTTTAATCTAACATTACAAATAAATCTTCAAAACACAAACTCTAGCTACGCTGCCCTACAACTTCTCATCTGCCATAAGAGGTCATAGTAGCAATGATACCAACCTGAAATTCTGCATAAATTGCTGAAACGTGCTGACCCTTTTTGTCAGTGGCACAATGATGTTAATAAGAGTGTGGGCCATATTGAGGTTTTCATTTGCAACATTCATGATGGGGCCAAATGGTCTGAACAGAACAATGCGCTTGAATTCATATTCTTTGTCTCCTTTGAATATCAACTCATATAGGGTGCCTTTATCTCTTTCAGTCCGGCGAATGCCTATTAGGAAAGAGAAGGCAATCATTAGCTAGAATTTCTAAAGAGGTAAAAATATTTTTATATATAATTCCTCTGATGTTATTTCTACAATTTTAGCAGTAGGCATTTATAATTTTATTTTTACAAATTATCTATTGCTCTCAGTTATTAGAACACTAGCAAAAAAATTATGAACAGTCGTCTGAGCACAGAAATACATGCAGAAACCCTATCTTTAAGATATCCGCACCTATTTCTTCATTCATTCTTAAGTGACTTTCCAGAAAACACACCTTCTATGAAATCAGAGATAGAGTATATTCGATGATTTATGCTGCTGTTACTCTTTGGCCTATTTAAAATTTCCAGGCCTGACTCAATAGCTTCTGCCAATTCATCCCTCTTGTCCTTGCGCACAGGCTTCTCCTCAGGATGACGTAAAAGTCCCATCTCCAGCTGATAAACTTTTTGTTGGGTGAAGCTCTCAAAGGGCAGTGCAGCATATTCAGTTGGCAGCTTGATGCCAGTATGTATTTCTGCTTTGTCAATCTGGGAATGGAGGAACTGCAGTAGGGTTTTTTGGGACTTCTCAGAGTTTCCTAGGTCTAGTCTAACCCCCAGTATGTCAGTATCTTGACCTTGCATGTTCTTTAGTGGTTTACTCTTTTCCTGAAGCTTATCTTTCAGCTCAGCAATTTGTCTTTTCAGGCTGTTGATATGGTCCCAATAATATTCTTCTCCTTTTTGTAGAATTGCCTGAGATTCTTTTTTTCCTATTGGGCTGATAACTCTGAGGAATGCAGTTTGCTGAAGGTTACCTTTTGGAGTGCAGGTAAACATGTAGAACATAGATGCTGCACAGCAGAGGAACACAAGTACAACTACTATTCGAGACAGCCCTATTATCCCACGACGAACCATCATCTGCTAAGCAGCTGGTGATACCCACATTCCTGTAACAGAGTGAAATTTTCTGCAACCTTTTTAGAACTCAGTTCAGAAGTTATACACATTGATACAACAGTTTTTGACTAAATGTAACATGCATACAACATGTGACAACAGGACAATGTTGCAAGGTCATTTAGCAGTACTGAAAGCTTCATTGAAGGACCAATGTTGGCATTTGAAGGATATCTGTTGATCCTGGATAAATATTGATAGTTGCCCACAGCAGGGAGAGAGAATGATCTGGAAGGCAAAGCAAAGACGTATTGGATTAATTCCTGTTTGAAGAAATTTCATCTTCAGAAGAAGCAGTCATTGTATGGTGTGATTGATTCACATTTATTTGGCTACAACATACAGATCTGACAATCAAGAGATTCTTATTTTAAGATAGCTGGCTTCATGTCTAAGGGACTACTGGAGGAATTCATAGTCTCCTGTTTTCTAGCTACCTTGAGTACAACAAACTGGCTGTTCACTTTACAATTAATAACGAATACAGTGAGGATATCCTTTCCTTTCAGTTTTTTCCCAAATGCCATCACTCTGTTAAATAATTCTCTCAACACTGTCAAACTATTTACTAAGTCTGCATTACTATTACTATTAATCCTCATCCTTCCTTTCACCCATCTCCTGCCACTTATGACTGTATGACTGTAACCTTGTTGCTTGTATCCTAACTATTTTTATTGACTGATTCCTAGTATGATTTGATTACTTATTGTATCCTAAGACTATTATTAAGTGTTGTACCTTGCGATTCTTGACTCTTGACGAATGTATCTTTTGTTTTATCTACGCTGACAGCATATGCACCAAGACAAATTCCTTGTGTGTCCAATCACATTTGGCCAATAAAGAATTCTGTTCTGTTTTGTTCTGTTCTATTCCTTTTTTAAATAAAACCCACTGACGTAATTATAAAAGAACAACAACTGGCTTCTGTGTTTACTTAATTATTTTTTATTTCCCCCTCCTCTCAGACTCTTATCTACTCTACCTTCTAAGTAAATCCTTGTACAAAGCTCCATGACATGACAGATGTGTTAAAACTGATTTCCCATTTTTCTCTTATTTGTCACTCATCTTTGAAAAGTAATGAAAACCATTGTTTTAACGCTCAAAATCATGCCTTGAATAATAAGTATTCGATCTCTGACATGTCTACTTAAAAGGGCCTGGTAGCAGGCATTTAGAAGATTTGTGCCAGTCAAAAAGGAGAAAGTGTTCTAATTCAGTCGAAATCACTTTTATGTTATTCTCTTCAATTTTTCAGCCCTTCGCATGCTAATTATAATATTTTGTAATAAACAGTGGCCTGTACTTTTATCAGTTCTAGCAATAATCTATGATTTATATTTTCTAGGATATTTGGAACAACTTCTGGTATTATCAGAAGTATACACTTTATGAAAAAAATTCAAGAATGTGTAATCTTGTATAATAATGTAGAATTGGTCCTATGTCAAAACTTACTGGACATTTCTTATAAAATGAAATACAGTTGGAAAGAACCGTTCACTTTTCTTTTCTCCATCCTCTGTGAGTGCCAAGGGCATGCTAACTTTTCAAGTTTTATGTATCAACCATATGCCCATACTTTTAGTCTCCCTGGAGTGCAATAGCTGCTGGTGGGTATCTACTTAATGAATAACCATCAACATGGACATCTGCATTTACATACTTCATTTTGCAAATTATGCATTTGATACCACTGATAAAACCAAGATGCCTATAAAAGGAGTACTATAGGTATAAACTAAACTAAATTAAACTGATTTATTTGATACTGTATTTGTTTTTGAAAGCAGAAGCATTCAACGGCTGGCAAATTTCTCAAACATAAATTGCCAAAAGTTACCAAAAATTACAGCTTCATATATTCAAGTTCTTATTCAGATTAACTTTCCTTTGCAGCCATTGTCTGATTTCAATCTCAATTAGGGGATTATTAAAGACACATTTAGCATTATCAAGTTTTGTGAATATTTCCACAATTCATCTTCTATGATGTATTGTAGATTTGGACAAATTTAAATTTAAATTCCCACATACTGACTTTTATCCAAAGTTTTTGACTCACCATATTGTGAGAATTCTAAACATATGATCATTTTTGATATCTTCAACTTGAACACTGCCCCAAGATTTGCTTCAATTTACAATATTTCACATTTGTTGACAGCTGAATAAATTGATGAAGACTCTGAGACTCAAAAAAATCTGTCTGGGGAAAGTGATATCTGAAGTTGTATCTGCATTTCATTATTATGGGGAGTGACAAAAGAGCATTTGCTTCTGAATAAAAATTCTATTTCTGAATTATATAGGCTTTCATTTTGCTACTACGGGGGATGATGCAAAATGCAATTGCACTCAGAGCAATTTCTTACATTATCTTTTCCTATCATCATTCCCCAAATAGCTTTTATTCTTGCATGTATGTATGTGAGTAATATGATGTGAAAGAAAATTAAAGTAGTACACTCTAATATCCATCTATTATATACTTTTCCATATACTTCTATTCTTGCAAAGCATTCTTGTTTCTGACATCTCGATTAATACATTGCCTATTGTTCTTCTCTATTGTTCTCACTATCTCTATCTGAGTACCTTATCAGCTTCATCCAACCGCAACTTTCTCAGACTTTCCATTCTTTCAAACCCATTCATTCTTCATTCAGTCCTAATTCTCTCTGTTTGACCAAACATTTGTCCATAAATATGTTTCATGACTACCATAAAACTTTGTCTTACTCACTGCTGAAATCATAAGCATTACCATTATTTTATATGTGCTTAATTTCCATTATAACCTTATTCAGAAGAAAGTCTTCAAATCTATATTCATCCACAAACTTATTATCATCCACTTTCTTTACATAAACAAATATTCAATATTTGATCTGCTGAAAATCAAAAATCTATACAAATTTTGATCATTTTCATCCTTTTATAACCGTTCAATCAAAATTTTGCCCAACATTTTCCAATGGATACTTAACAAAATAATCTCCATCTAATTTTTGCAGTGATTCTTGCTACCTTTCCTTTATACTTCCAATGGCAATCTTTATGATAAACAAGCTGCACAGCCAATCAATCCATAATATAAACATGTGTATATATTAACACTTCCACAGATTAACCATCTAGATCTACAGTATTTTTAAACAATTTGTAGTATTTATGATGATCTTTCTATCATTTTTATTTTTAGAGAACATTTATAACACTGATTACATTTCTGTTTGAAATACAATACTTGTCGGGCTCTACATCTTACCAGTGTTCAGAGCCAGACATTACAGCTTGGCAGCTGCTCTGGACTCATGACTGCCAATGACGTTTTACAGCCTTAGAGCTGTAAACCTCCGATCCCCATGTCAGGCTCACGGAGTCAGCTGCAGAGTGAGGGAGTGTGCGGGTAACATTTCACAGCTTCAGGGTTGTGTATCTCAGAGCTCACTTGCAGCATCAGCGTAGAGCCCACAATGTCAGTTTTGGAGTGGGGGAGGGCTGCAGCTTTCTTGACAGCCTCGGGGCTCTGAAACTTTACAACCGTGTGCATATATATCCCCCAAATTAAGCTCAACAGGAAGAAATTGGGCCATATGGGAGAAGGAGACGTTTCCAGTCCGATGGGCACTACTTACTGGAGACATTTGCTAGAGGGTAGTTCACATCCTTTGGAGCTGTGGACAGATCACAAGAATTTGGAAGTCTTGCAAAATCCAAGAAGATTGTCTCTAAAGCAGGTTCCATGGGCGTTGTATTTCAGACATTTTAATTTTGTTTTGAAATACATTCCTGCTGGAGAAAACTTTATGGTGGATGGCCTATCAAGGCTGTGTAATCATGAAGAGGTGATACAATCACTTATTCCCTGTAACGATCATATAAACTCATTACGAACAACGATTCTCGCAACAAACCTTCCAGCAGTACTAGTGAAAGATCCATGGCTGTCTGTAAATAGTGCTCAGGTTACAATGAAAAATGGATTAGCTTGGTGAGGGAAAAAGATGTATGTACCAGAAATACTACAGTCTATAGTATTATAATGTTGTCATGATACCAGACAGGCAGATCACTACAACTTCCTCAAAACCTTACATTTAGCTAGAAGACAGTCTTGGTGGCCATCCATAGGAATGGATATTGAAAAATATGTGAAAGGATGTTCTGTGTCTGCAACCATGAAAATCAGAATTGGAAAGCCTTCGGAATGATTATAAATGGTAGCAGAACCCACAAGACCATGGGAAGATATTGGAATGGACTTCATAGTAAATCTACCAGAAAACCAAGGATTATTTGGACAGTAATTGATTTGTTTTCAAAACAAGCTCATTTTATTCCTTGTAAAGGATTACCATTGGCAAAATGATTAGCTGCTTTGAGAAATGATTAGCTACATTTAAAAAAAGTATATCGGTTGCATGGAGTACCCAAATGAATAATCTCAGATAGAGGAGTCCAATTCACCACTCGATTCTAGAAGGAATTTATTCAGCTTATTGGCTCGTCACAAGGACTAAGTACTTTGTACCATCCATGTACTAATGGAGCGGCAGAAAGAACTAATGCCACTATCGAGCAATATTTATGATGCTCTATAACTTATCAGCAAACAAATTGGGTTGAGACATTATCATTTGCTAAAGTAGTGTATAATAATACTGTTCATAACAGTACCGCATATACTCCTTTTCACATAGTGAATGGGATGGAATTTATTCCTATTCCAGAATGGCCACATGTGGCTAACAAACCAACCACAGCCACTAAATGGATTGGAGATATACAAACTCAATGGACAGCGGTTAAAAGTGCATTGACCAAGGCAACAGAAATGTATAAAAATATGCAGACAAGAAATGGTCTGAACAGACCTTATTAGAAGTAGGAAAATGGGTATATCTATCTACAAAATATATTAACTTGGGGTTACCAGGTAAAAAACTAGGCCCAAAATATATTTGTCCCTTTCAGATACTTCAAGTGATTAATCCAGTTATTGCTCATTTACACTTACCATAAAAGATTACATCCTAATTTTCACAGTAGCCTGCTTAAGCCTGCTGACATGACACAATTCAAACCTCACTTAAAATACCCAGGACCTATTAGAGATAATTACTATGAAGTAGAGAACATCCTTGATTCCTGTTGACAATGAGGGGTCCTACAATACCTGGTACATTGGTAAGGATATCCAGTAACAGATGCTTCGTGGGTGGTTTCTGCAGACGTGTCAGCCCCACAATTACAAAGACTATTTCATCGGCAACATCCTACTAAGGTGGGGAGAAGGGACGAAAACTATTGTAAGAATGTTTTTAATTCTGTTAATTGCCTTCCAGGCTGGAAACATGGTAGAGGGGGCGGCATGTCGGGCTCTACATCTTACCAGCATTCTGGAGCCTGACATTACAACTTGGCAGCCACTCTGGACTTGCAGCGATGGCTGCTGCTGATGTTTTACAGGCCTGGGGCTGTGAATCCCCAATCTGTAGTTTGATCCCAACATTACAGCTTGGCAGCCACTCCGGACTCACAGACTGCTGATGACATTTTACAGCCTTACAGCTGTAAACCTCCAATCCTCATCTCGGGTTCGCAGCGTCAGCTGCGGAGTGAGGGAGGGCTGTGGATGACATTTCACAACTTCAGGGTTGTGTATCTCAGAAGTCACTCGCAGCGTCAGCGTAGAGCCCGCAATGTCAGTTTCGGCATGGGGGAGGGCTGCAGCCTCCTTGACAGCCTCAGGGCTCCAAATCTACAGGCAGGTGCTGTTTTGAACTGTGGAGCTATGGGCAATTTCAGTTTTAATGGGTGTGAGGTGGATTGATAATTGTTTGGGATACTAATGAGGCATGGTGGAGTGAGGAAAGTAATATTAGCCTAGGCGTGGCTTAATTAGGCAAGGGGTGGTGGCATGGATAATTAGGTAATGGGTGGATTAGAGTGGGGTGGATGCTACGTAATTAGGCAGGGGTGTATGAAACATTACTGGGAGTTAACTATTTTCAACACTGACTTTTCACGGTTATTCGTTGTTGAAGCTCTTAGCCACAATTGGCGATACAGCAATAAATTCTACAACTGCAAGGGTGAGTAGCCTGATTTATTGATTAAAAGATCCAGTTCTTGGCAGAGACCGACAATACTGTTCCCATACAAATCTCAGAAAAGCTTCTTACAACATTTTTTCACTTCAGAGTCGTTTTATCTTTTATTTTGAATTCATTTCATTACCACTAAGTCAAGTTATAAGTACCTGGAGGTCCTTTATTTTATTGTATAGTTTATAAAATAATTTTTATTTCTATCAAAATTACTTTACATTTTCTCTGCCTCTTTTATTTTATAATTTGTAATTATTCCTCACTTTCTTTCATTACATTATTTAACTAGCTTTTTCTATCTTTTTCCTGTATAACTTCTTCTCATTTTTACTCATCCACAGTCTTTCATTTTGACATGCCAACAAGCATCTTTCTTCATATTTTCTGTGGCACCTAGTAACATAATAATATTTACTGTGTTGTAAGAAGTTACTATACCCTCTTTCCTTATATCTACTTTTCATTCTCTTGGGAGATTAACTTATTGCTTAATACATTTTCATATAGATCTTATATTTTCTTTTCTTGTAGACATTCTACATTCACTCTAGTTCTTTTCACTCTTCAGCTTTTCTTTCATGTCCATCATATCTCAAGATCCTGTTCATGGCATTTTCCCCACTCTTGACAGTATTAAACAATGGCCGCTTCTCATATTCAGAATCTTAAATTATGTACTTGAAATAAACAGCTTATTCTGATGCTCACCAATTACCATTTTAATTCATTTTTGGATCTCCAAATGATCTTGTTATTAGGTAAAGGTAAAGGTTCCCCTCGCACACACGTGCTAGTTGTTTCCGGCTTGGGGGCAGTGCTCATCTCCGTTACAAAGCCGAAGAGCCAGCACTGTCCGAAGACTTCTCTATGGTCAGTGGCTGGCATGAGTAAACGCCAAAGGCACACGGAACGCTATAACCTTCTCACCAAAGTGGTTCCTATTTTTCTACTGCATTTTTACACGCTTTTGAACTGCTAGGTTGGCAGAAGCTGGGACAAGTGACAGGAGCTCATTCCGTTTTGCGGCACTAAGGATTCGAACCACTGAACTGATCAACAAGCTGAGCATCTTAGCCACTGAGTTGCAGTTAAATTTAAGATGGTGATGATGATGACTATCTATCAGTATGCAAGCCTTTATTATTTATTCATTTATTAAAAAACATTTATATGGCTGCCCAAGTCACCCTTTAAGACTTTGGGCTGCTTACAGGGATAAAACCCCAATACAAAAATCTATAACCCCTCCACTTTTCCTGGCAATAGATCAGATAATCCACACATCACTCTTGGGTCTCGAGGCCTGTTGGCAGAACCATGTCTTCAGGCCTTTGCAAAAAGGTGTCAGTATAGGGGCGGTTGAGAGCGATTAGCTCTTTCACCTCATTACTCAGGCCTTGTTGGGGCCAACCATATGGTGGCAGAGAGAGGAAGATGAGCATAAGGAGGGGTCTCCCCTCCTTCCCCTATTGGAGTCTTGGAGGAGAGGCTGGACTGCAGAGTGAGGAGGTTGGAGGAGATGAGTAGCTGAAACCGGCCTCAGAACAGCAATTATCGGCTGCATGGGATGCCAAGAAGGATCATCTCAGACCAAGAGTTCAGTTTACTGTGAAGTTCTGGAGGGAGTTCGTTAAGTTAATTGTGTCATCTCAATCAGCTTAGCTCCGCCTTCCCTATGAGTACAAACAGAGCCACAGAATGAGTTAACACAATGATAGAACAATACCTGAGGTGCTATGTTAACTATTAGCAATCTAACTGGGCAGATCTCCTGCCATTTGCTGAAGTTGCCTTCAATAATTCAATGCGTAGTAATAAGGGACTCACCCCCTTTAAAATAGCAGGGTGGAATCTGTCCCATGCCAGAATACCCATGGGAACCCCACCCTCAGTGAGCCTAACAGAATGGGTGGGTTCCTTACAAAGTGCGTGGGGGGAATGTAAAATGAGCACTGGCTAACGCAACAGAAATGCAGAAGGCGCAGGCAGATAAGAGACAGTCACCCCATTGGGGAAGTCTACCTCTATACAAAATATTTGAAATTGAAACTACCCTGTAAGAAGCTGGGTCCGAAGTTCATAGGACCTTTCCCAATAGTAAAAATAATAAACCCAGTGACAGTAGAATTGAAATTGCCACATTTGTTAGAGAAAGTGCACCCAGTGTTTCACTGTAGTCCACTCAAGGCCACTAGCAAAGTTAGCTCCAACTCCAATAGTGGTGGAGGGGGAAACCCACTATGAAGTCAAGAGGGTCCTGGATTCCAAGATAAACTTCAACTCCTAGTCCAGTGGAAAGGGTATCCACTAGCAGAGGCTAGATGGATGAAGGCAAGGGATATGAAAGCAGACCGTTAATAAAAAAAATTCCATAAGAAGTACCCCCAGAAACCAGGAAGCCCTCCCCCAAGTCAGGGGGAACCCAGCCACCACTAATGTGTGTTTATGCTTGATGTTTTCCAGGTGTTTCTCATTAAGGGGATCCAACAGTCAACTTAGAAACAGATCGGGCCTGTCACAGCCAATTTTCTCCATTTCTCAACTTGACACACTTTGGAGGAAAGAGGGAGCTTTGGAATTTCAGACCAGACGTCAACAACTTCCTATCTTATGGGAACCAAGGTCATTCCAACAGGTGCTGACCAGGGACTGGAAGAGGTTACCAAGGAAACTCCAGAACACCTAATTGGATAACGTGACCTGTGACAAGGTGAGAGGGAGCTGTCTAATCTTTAATTGTACTGAAAGTGCGGGAAATAGCCAGAGCTGATTTTAAGATCATCTGTACTGAAATGATGTTTTCAATAAAGTAGTTCTTTGTAGAAATTTAAAGTCTCGGAGGAGTGACTCATCTGGGTTTGTCAATCAGAACCTTGACAGGTCATACATATGGGCTACACATATATGCTTGCAAAAACCACACTGTCTGCTGCATTTTGCCCACCAGTTGAAGCTTTCAGATACATTTCAAATTTCATGGATAGTGCACGATATAACTATTATTTTAGCCAAAAGACGTGTATTTTCTATAAAGAAATATTTGTACATAAATGTTTGCTTCAAGTAGTGTTTCAATATTGTCTATCAGAAAGTTGGGATTTTTAGAAAATTGTTCACTTATATTTAGAAAATTTTAGAAAATTAAGTTCACTTTCTTATTCTCTATAATTACACTCATAACTGAAGATCTGAACACTAGAACGTAGAACAATGATCCATTACTTTCCACAAGTCTGGAGGTCTGTTTGTCATATTTCTCATAATATGGTTTATTTTGCAGGCAATGTTCATTTTGTAGCCAAATATCATGGATAAAAGATAATCTCCTTCAGAAATAAGTACAACTCTGTTAATGTACCTTTACAATAAAATAAAATTAGCTTTTCTGTTTGGTTTATCTGACAGGGCTGGCATCAATTTTGCAAATCTGAAGATACAAGTTCCTGATATTACTTTTAACCATTTGAACCAATTAGGGCAAATCCTTCCCAAAGGGGCTTGCCTAATTGTTTCCTAGGTGGCAGCTTTCCCACTTGTCCTACCAAGGTGATGCACGCATATCATCACATCATCTTTACATTCTGACTACAGAGAATTATAAAATTATAACATTCCTTCTATAATATTCTATAATATTTTTACATTTAATTATTAGAGTTAAAAACTAACTTTGTTCATAGGGCATGGAGAAGAATAAAATTCAATGGAAACATTCTCTTCTTAGAGTCTTAGATCCTTATTTTAAAAAAACCTCCAACTCTAAAAACTCTGGAAAGTTGACCAATTAAAAATAAAACAAATATGTGGGTCAACATCAAGAGAAGTACAAGAAGTCAGTCGAGTATCAAATAGTCAAATATACAACTAAATTAGTCACCGTTGAAATAAAAATAAAGGTTTCTCTTGTTGTGCATGACTCTAGGGGCAGTGCTCATCTCTATTTCTTAGCCAAGGGAGCCTGCATTTTCCGAAGACATTTCTGTGGTCATACCAAGGTGCAGAGAATGCTTTATCTTCCCACTCAAGTGGTACCTATTTATCTACTCAATTGGCATGCTTCAAACTGTTAGGTTGTCAGGACCAGGAGCAAATAATGGGAGTGCACCCCATCACGCGGCGCTCAGGTCTCAAACCCAGTTTGACAGCTTTCCAGAAGACAAGCTAAGTGTCTATAATTGCTGAACTATCCCACCACTGAAATAGGATTTTTAAAATGATTTTAATGATACCTGATACAAATCTGGAAACAAAGTATTTCAAAACAAGGGGCTTCTATAGAGAGAGGTTGCTTTTGGGCCAACGTTTCCTATCATGGGACAGGTCCTTCAGCAATTTCTCTGCCTGAATTTATGCTCTGGACCAGGGGTTGCCAACCTTTTGGACCTCAGGAACCACCAAACTCATAATTTTAAATCCCGCGGACCACTAATATGAATTTTGACTGATGGTGGCTTGCAGACATTGGTGGGAGAGATAGATAGATATCAAGATCCGATCTAACCTTGGAGGGCTGGTGGTGATGTTCTCTGTCTCTCTCTCTCACACACACAGAGGTCCCTGACACACCCCTACCCCCTCCAAAGCAGCCACATTCCTAACCTGCTTTTCAGCCCCATTCTGAGGGAGGAGAGAAAGGGGGGGAGGGGAAGAGAGAGAAGGGGGGGGAATGGATCTCATCTAATCTCGGAGGGCTGGTGGTGACGCTCTTCTCTCTCTCTCTCTCTCTCACACACACACACACACACAGACAGACACACACACACATCCTTCAAGGCAGCTACATTCCTAATGTGCTTTTCAGCTTTATTCTCAGGGGGAAAGAGAGAGAGAGAGAGAGAGAGAGAGAGAGAGAGAGAGAGAGAGAGAGGCGGTATCCTGCAATCCCAAGTAAAGATCAATCGATCGGTAGGAAAACAGGGTGGGGGATTTTCCTGCAGACTTCTTTTGGGATTTTCCCAGGGTTTCTGTCTGCAGAGACCCTGGGAAAATCCCCAAAAAAGTCTGCAGGAAAATTCCCCATCCTGTTTTCCTACCAATCGATCATTCTTTACCATTTCCAGCTCTGTTCTCCGGGGTGGGGTGGGGGTGGTGGAGACTTTTGACTTCATGCAAGGAAAGCAGCAGAAGTCTTTCTTTCTCTCTCCCAAACTCCAGAAATAAGTCTTTGCCAGCATATCCTCTTGGAACAGGATGCCTTACAGGGTCCCAAGACTTATTTCTGGTGGGGTTTGGGGGAGAGAAAAAAAGACTTTTGTTGCTTTCCTTCCATGCAGCCAAAAGCAGAAGAAAGTAGAGGAAAGAGGCAGCCCAGCGGCCAAACAAGGTGCATGGAGCGAATGGGGCAAGTTCCCCTCCTCCATCCTTTCCTCCCTCCCCTCACTACCTCTTGCTGCTTGCAATGAAAGTGATGCAAGCCTTTGTGTTCCTGCAGCCCGTATGGGTGGTACAGCCTTGTGTTCCCACGCAGCCTGGATTAATGGCTTTGGGGGTGACATTTCTCTGTGGACCTCCAAAATTTTCTCGTGGACCACAAGTGGGCCGCGGTCCATCAGTTGGTGACCACTGCTCTGGACAGATGCCATTCAAGCTTTTAACAAACACTTTGAGTTGGGCTCAGAAGCTAATTGGGGGCCAGCACATCAAATGGTTTTCTTTTACTGCAGTGTTTGTCATCTTGACTACACCAATTTTATAATTACTGGTTTTTGTGTTTCACATTTTTTCTTACTGTTTTTGAGCTGATCTATAAATAAAATGTCTTGTTTTGTTGCCAATGCAATGTCAGTTGTTCAAGATTTCCAGATTAGGAAACAAACTCCATAAGAAGGCTAGAACAAGGTTTTATTGAGCTAGGCAATAATATTAGAATCTTGCAAGACTGATTGTATTTTTCCTCCTCCCCCTTTTATATCTCAAGTCAGTCAGAGAGGAGCCAGAGCAAGGCTCTTCCTAATATTATTTACCAGGACTTAAAAAATGCTTCAACCATTTGTTTCTGTAACAGTTTCTGCATATTTCCCTCCATGTTTCTGTATATGCAGAAACCAATTCTCTGGTTTGCTAACCAGAATATTCTGCACCTATTGTAGTTTTCTATTTTCTCCTAAAACAGTCTGTATGAATTTTCTACCTTTTTGAAATAGTTTAGGTTTGTTGTATGATGTCTATTGGAGTATTATTATTTATCTTGTTTTGTATATTGTGAGCCACCCAGATTCAGGCAGAATCAAATCAAATGTTAGACCTGCCATTCTGTTTCAAGTTATTTTAATGTTAAAAATCTCATTTTTTATTTTAAATGTTAAAATACTTTTATTCTGAGAAAATTTAGGATCATAAAATATATAGTTCTTTGTGCTTTATAAATGTTAGACAAATGTGGTTTTAGATTATAGCAAACTGCTGAAGTGGAAGTAGACACAGTTGATATTGAAACTTCACAGTTAAGAGTCTGTTTTGTATCAGAATAATCTCAGATTGTGTTTTTTTTAATTTTAATTGGTTTGTGTAGCTGACCATCTCAAACAAGAGGGCTTACAAGAATTAATATGGAGAAAAACTCATACCACATGCAGAGGTGGACTGCACATACTTTAACAGTTTGCTGAAAATGTGAGATTGATTTCCAGGAAAGCAACAAACAAGGAACTGAGGAATGGACTAGTGCCTTGAAATTCATTTCTGGAAATAGGGGAGTACTTGGAATTGCCTGCAGCGCTCCCAGAAGGTGCTTCCCATGATGAGATTGTAAAGCACAAAGAGAGCTTGGAGAATCAGCTTTACCCGGGTTTAGCAGTACAGAACCTTCAAAGGGATCCTGGGATCACCTACTTCCTTCTCTCAATCACTCCTGGAAATGGCTTATAAACTGCTTTTTAAATATGGATGTCAAGTTTTCATTATACTGAACGATTCTTCTACTTTTTTAAGTGAAAGACGTTTCATGCGATTTTAAGAACTTAAAAGACTGATAAGAACTTAAAAAGGAGATTAGAACATTGATATTGGAACATTATAAGCAGACTAACAGGCCAGATTGACCAGAAATAAGATTTAAAAACTGCAGATTACAGAGAAAAATATGATAAGAGGAGATCTTGAAAGCTGGTTACAACAGGCAATAAGAAAAACTACAGATAATTAAGAGAAGAGACCTATTAATAAAGAATGGAGAGAAGTTAACTCTGGAAGAATTAAAGGATATTTGGCAACAATGTATTTAGAACTTTTTCTTAAGATTGACTACTACTGTATAATTGAATTTAAAAGGGAGATGGAGGATACAACTGAGAATCAGTCTGTTTTGTATTTAAAAAGACAGGCTACAAGAATGATAGTGACATAGATGTTACATGGAACTTACACATGAAACTGGCTGATGTTTTAATAGCTGAAAGGAACACACAAATAATAAATCAGAAGAATGATTTGGATGTGTGGATTTTTCAATTCAGAAGAATGACTTGGACAACTTTCTGGGTTTGGACTTATAAAAGAGATATATTATACTTATGAAGAGTTCCTATGACATGATAAAAAGAGAATGAAAATAAATAAACATTTTGACATTACTTAAAAGGAATAAACATCAATACACATTTTTTATTGAATAAGTTTTAATGATCATGCAGGAAAGAAAAGAAATACTTTGAGATATTTTCATTGTATTTTTATAGAAAATGATAAGTTACTATGTAAAGGAAAGAAAAAGAATATGAGATTGATTTACTTGTTTAAGATTAATATACAAATATATACATTTATTGTACTCGTCTAGATGAAGTAGAGAGTAATTTTGATATATTTCTTTATATATCTTATTTTTATCTTATATTTTCCCTGTTCCTCTTTCTTTTCTTTGTACTTTTCATTTTTTATATTTTTTCTCTTATATTAATTTTTATCTTTGTAGTTTTAAACTTAAATAAAAATTATTATATATAAAAAAGAAAACCACTGAAAAATCAAAGAAAGCCAATGCATCCTGAGTCTGCTGAAAGTCATTCATCAGGATTAATCAATGCTGTCTCAGTGCTATAAACGGGCGTAAGTCTTGACTAAAAACGGTTCAGATAATTTGTTTTCCTGAGGGCCCTCTGTAACTATAAGGCATTTACATCTCAACAACCTTCCTTAAAAAGACAAGATTGGAAACTGGATCAAAACTGTCTCCATTCACTGGGTCTAGTAACAACCTCTCAAGGAAGGGATAGCTCACCCTCTCCTTCAACAAAGATGCACCTACCTTCTCCTGCTGAGAAGCATTCATAAATACATGGACCCAACCACTTGCCCTATGCTAGGATTCCCTAAGGCATAAAAAGGGACAGGGATCTAAGATCCAGTTGGGCAAGCTCAAAGCTCTGAGGACCCTGTCCATTTCATCAGGGTCAGCAGGTCTGAACTCTCCCCAGGTAACTGGGTATGACTATGCCTCAGGTAACTTACACAGAACTTGTACAATTGCATTCCAATTCCAAAAAAATCTGAGCAACTTTATATAATAGAATAATCTTCACAGCAGCCCTACAAGATTTCTGGCAGTGTTTCCTTGGTCCAGGCTGTCATAGACTTACATGTTAACATCACACTATCTCTCATTTATTTTTTCTAATATTTCAGATATTTTAATCACTGTTAGATTTGTTTTATTCCACTTTTTCATTCAGGAGCTTAAGGTGATATAGATAGCACTCCCTTCTTTTTACTTTTCTCCACACACAAAAAAAATCCTGTGAAGTAAGTTGGATCCAGAGTGACTGCCCCAAGATTTCACTGCGAACTTCTGTTAAAAGTGAACTAGAACTTGGTGCTAGTCCAACTTCTTACTTATATATACATTTAAAATCAAGAATCAAATACAAATTGTGCAAAACACTGTTAAATCCTTATGAGAACTTGTACTGTCTACAGTGTTATGTTGAATCAGTCTGTAATAGTTAAGAAATATATGATTGTGACCAAAAAATCAAGAAGTACAGTTGCATTTTGGTTAAAATCAAGTATATATACCTAATCATTAATTCTTTGTGAAACCTAAATTGTTATTCATTCTATATAAAACCTCAACATATATTTTAGCCCATTACTCTTATATATTTTAGCTATATGCTCACCTCACCCAGATTTTTCCCCTTACATCAAACAAGCAATAAAATGAAGAAAACTTGTTTTTTTTCCTGCAAAACCAGAGATAACACAGTTATCTAAATGTATTTCTCTCATAACTATAAAATCATATTATAAACAGCTGAAATGCAAAACCATATACATAATTATGGAAACCAGAGGTGGTATAATGATCCAATTCTTAACATTCTGTAAGTCATGCATTATATTTTCAATACTACTGGAAACAGCTATGCATGCTTAGTACAAATGCATTTTATACCAATGTACACATTGGTGAAAATTGAAAATATTTTTATTATCTTCTTCAATCTCCAAATTCCATTCATCAAATAGGTATGATCAATTTGCATTGGGTTTTAAAAACCTACACAATTTGAAGTCCTTTCAGTACTGTAGACTATAACGTATTAAGTTTTAATACAACTATTCTAAAATCACTGGATTCATGAAACCTGGTTCTGAATAAGCTTGCATATTTCTCTGAAAGGATCTTAAATTAAAATACAGATTTCTTTAAAATATTTAGTTGATTTTAACTTAATGATATTTTAAAAGGGTAATAAATACTCCTCAGTTATAACTGAATTATCTTTTCTGCATTGGAAATTTTGGCATTGTTTTAATTAGGAAGCCAAAAAGGAAAAATGTTAGAAATGTTCATCTTCTATAATATTTGTTAACAAAATACATACCAGCACACATGCAAAATACTAAATTTTCTAGAAGAATTAAAATTAACTTTAATTTAAATTCTAAGTTACTTACATAATTGCAAGCAGATACCACGAATACAATCATCTGTGTTGGCCCATGCTATTTTCCAGAATTCACAAGCTGTGGCTTTGTTCCATGTTGTTCCAAAATAAGGATAATTTATTATCTTCTGTAAGTCACACTGAAAATCACGGAAATCTTTCTTTTTAAACTACCCTAAAGACAACTTCTCACTGTACTATTTGAGTACTGTTAAATTGTCACTAAGTTGCAAAGTGTCATATATGTTAAGGCATAAGACTGTTAGTGATCTGAATCTGCAGTGAAAAAGCCTATTTCCAATTCAGAACAGGGAAAACAGGAAAAATAAAAAAAAAGGCTTCATGGAATGAAATGGTCAAAAAGAACATTATCACATAAACCTGCTACTGATGGAGAGAAGGGGGAGAAAAATCCCACAAGTTTCAAATGCCCCAGGCAAGTTTCAAAGGAAATGAGAAGGGGGAGGGAAGAAGGATTTCTCTGTACCGTCAAAGAGTTCACTGTGCAAATCAGAACAGGGAATTGAGTTGTTAAAACTGTCCAGCCCTGGCTGAAGATATCTTTCCAATATGAATTTGACATATTCTTTCCACTGACTGGAAGGAAGTTTGCTCCCTCCTTGCTTTTTCTTTTCACGGATTAATGGTGCTTTTTTCAGCAGTAGCTCTATAAATTTCTGAATTTCTAGGCGTGCTTCTCAGGACGATCAGCAATACTAAATAAAGCTAAGTAATACAGAAATTTGCTTTTCATGCTGTAAAAAAGCGCTTAGTTAATTTTCAAATTACAATAAAAAGAGCTTCCGAATAAAAAGGATGTCAAATACCTTATGTAAAATTAGGCAGAACAAAGCACATTGATAATTTATTTCTTTCAAAACTATAGGTTATTTTTGAGCTAGTATACCATAGTTATCTCCAAACAGAATCTAGATCAGGGGTGTCAAACTCAATTTCATTGAGGGCTGCATTAGGGTTGTGATTGACCTTGGTGGGCGTGGCCAGGGTAGGCGTGGTCAGCTTGATATCATTTATGTCAGGGCCATCTGTGATGGCCTGGGTGGGGCTGGGGAGTCCATTGTCTTCAGCTGAGGAAGGCGAGACCAGGGAGAGGGTCAAACCCTTATCCTCCAGAGGAACATCATTGTTCCTCTCAGGCCACACTGAGGACCCCTAGATGGCGTCACAGACTGTCTAGAGCCTTAGGCAGTAGAGGGCAAGTGGCCAGCCCGGTCCTCGAATTCCCAGGGCACCAGGATCGCCCAGCCCAGCCCAACCTGTTTCCCCAAGGGGCTGCCTGGCTGCACTTACCTCCTCCTCGAAGCTGCTGCTGCTGTTCTCGCTCTCCCTGGCCAGGTTGTTCATGATATATGTGGGAGGGCAAAGTGTGTGGGTCAGAGGAAGGCCCATTCCCTCTCTACACAAGGAGACCTGGCTTTGTAACTGTGGGAAGTATACTCCAAAAGGACAGCACCAGAAACCTCGGAAAACAGTGCCAAGAAACTCAGCCAGCCCTTCCCCTTTCAGAAAACCAAGAATCACCAACTGAAAGAGAAAACTCAGAGCAGCCTGCTAACAGAGCTGACAATAGAAAGCCTTCTTTCATTGAAGAATCCCACTTTCTGGCAGTTGCTTCAGAATTCTTTTTTTTTTCAGCATCTGCGGGTTTTTTTCCAGTTGGGAATGAACTCAGGAAATTTCTTCCAACATAACCAAAGGATCCTCAATGATACGATGAGAGAACACCAGGAAAGATCAGGAGAGGATGGCAAAAGGGCAGCAGGGCTGCTGGTGGCCAATACTAAGGCAGGAGTTCCCTCAGATCTCCCTCCCTCTCATTATAATCTCTTCTTTCCTTCTTTCCTTCCTTCTTTTCTTCCTTCCCCTTTTCTTCTTTTTCCTTCCTTGCTATCTTCCTTTCTTCCTTTTCTTTCCTCTTTCTCTTTCTCCTTTCCTGTCCCTTCTTGGATACTGAAATGTAAAAGGGAAAACATATCTCGATGCCTCCTTGCCTTGTAATCAAATGCCACTTTTGTTAGCAGTTTGTTCTGCTAGAACTCTACCAGCGAAACCAGAGCATGTGGCTCTCCCAGGCTCTGTTATCAGCTGAGATAGCCTCCTGCAGACCTCTGCCAGCGAAAATGGAGTGTGTGGCGCTCCCAGGCTCTGTTTTCAGCTGAGAAGGCCTCATATAGCCCTCTACCAGCCAAAATGGAGCATATGTCCCTCCTGGTTTCAGTTTTCAACTGAGACGGCCTCCTGTAGCCCTCTGTCAGCAAAAATGGAGCACAAGGCCATCCTGGATTCCATTTTTGGCTGCAATTGCCTCCTCCAGAACTCTGCCAGTGAAAACAGAGGGTGCGGCCCTCACAGGCTCTGTTTTCGGCTGTGACAGCCTTTTGCAGCCCTCTGCCAATGAAAATAGAGCTCCATTTTGGCTGGCAGAGGCACCGCAGGCCGGTCCTTTGTTGTTTTCAGGGTGGCCTTGGGGCCAAATCTAAGCATTCTGCAGGCCACATCTAGCCCACTGGCCTTGAGCTTGATATCTCTGGTCTAGAACAACATGCTGTGGCCAACTGACCATAGAGAATTATCCATCCAAATATACATTAGCAAGCAATAAGAGGAAGCAGAGCAAATTGAGGCAAGACTATCTCTGGCTAAATTAGAGTTAAGACTGCTGTTGTTGATCCAAAATAAATCAAATAATGAGATAAGTAGCAATGCGAAGGAAGATAAATTAAAACACCAAATAGGAAACATAGGAAGCATACCTAGAGTCAGAGATCTCAAATGTCTATATATAAATGCTCAAAGTTTGGGGAACAAACAGGGTGAAATTATTAATACATAACGGTAGTTATGATATAGTTCCAATTACTGATACTTGGGATGAAACCCATGACTGGAACATACTGATACAAGGATAAACTGTTTAAAAAAAAACCAGACCCCATAAAAGAGGAGGTGGAATTGTACTATATGTAAATAAACCTACTATATTGATATAGAAATGCATGAAACCAAAGATGAAAACCTCCCAGAATGCATATAGCGCTCTCTCTCTCTCTCTCTCTCTATATATATATATATGAATGTATATATAAGAATGACATTGCCATAGGTGTATACTACAGCCACCCAACCAAACAGAAAAAATAGATGTATTGTTTGCTAATCAATTAACAAATATATAGGAGACACACTACAATAGTAATGGGGGGGGGGGCAATTACTCTGACATCAACTGGAAGACTAATTCTGCACCAAGTGACAAATCAAATAGGTTCCTGACTGTTAGGTGATTTATATTCCTAACGGGGAATTACCTCAACACTGACCAACCTACCTGATCACTTTGTTGTCCAAAGGTAAAAGAGGGAAATAGAGGGACAGCCATAATGGACTAAATTCTCACGAACAGAGAAGAAGTGAAAATGCAGGAACCCTGGGTGAGAGTGACTATGTCATATTGGAATTCAATATAATGTAAACACAAGCAATGGAACATAATACCAGAGTCTTAAATTTTAAAAGAGCTGATTTTAATAATCTCAGAGAGAGCTTGTAATTCCTTGGAAGAAAATCCTAAAGGGGAAAACAACTTAAGAAGCTTGGGAAACTATGAAAAATATGATCATATGATTTTAAATTATATCTTTTTCAATAAGAAATACTTCAAAAATAATTTCACCGCATTTATATAGAAAAGTCCTAGATTGCTGGTAAATCAGTTATATTATGCTGGAGATGCATTGAAATTAATGCTTTATTTAAATACGTGTCTCTGCAGTGTTCAAGTTATTACATGTATTAACTTAACTTTGAGATTCAATTTTTAGATATTCATATTATTTTGAAGTTTATCTTTATTACATGGAAATGATATCTGGACAAAAAAATGGATTTTACCTATACTTAAGTTCAGCATTGGAAAAACAACCTGGGTTTCAACTATTGAGTTTGCTGTTCAGAATTCAACTATCCATGATCTACAGAACTGGTTTATCAGCAATTTATGAATCAATAATTTAATCAACATAAATAAGCTATGGCTGATTATAATGAATTATGGCTTCCATCTGTTGAGGTAATTCCCCTTTAGGAGAATGAGCGCATACAGGGAGACGTATTTGAGAAGTGTTCGAATAATACACACACAGTACACAGATACACTGTACAGTAAATGTAGGTTTTTACTTCCAGAAAGGTTTAAGCAAAGTTCAAGATAAGCAGTCCAAAAGTCATTCACAGGTAAATCAGTCAGTTTTTCAATCCAGGGATAATCCAAATATCAAATTCCAGTGTCAAAAACAATTCAGTATCAGACTTACATCAAATCTAGTAATATCAGTCAATTAGGAAAAATGGAGCAAGGGCAATACTTTCCAACAGAAGGAAATATACACTTACACTCTCTTCTGAGACTCAGACTAAACCAACCAGGTTTCTGTCTCCATCTTATGGCCGTTTGAGAAACCACACCTAATTACAATTTTGCATTTTCTTAAAGATATAGTACTAAAATGTTTATCCTGGTTTATATATTTCTAACCCAAATACCTGTTAGGTGACTTATATTCCTAACATCATCCACTGAAATATTCATAGTGCAATCTTATATACTGTATGTTCTAGAATATATGTTGTTTTTGTTTCTTCTTTAACATATTTGTCTTCTTTGTAGAGTGTAGTGTTTTTACTGTTTTTGAATTTAGTTAATACAAAATGGAAGGAAAAAAAGATGCATAAAATAAAATACATACTGTAAATGTGGATTTGTATTACGAAGATTGAAATAGAAAATTGAAACACAATTATAAAAATTTGTAAATTACAAGTATATAATATAGTGATTATATAAACTTTATCAACTCATTAGACCAATAATGGTAATAATCTTTTTAGTATAAGATAATTCTAGTTAGTGAAATTTATTAAGGTTAACAAACATTTTTGGAGTCTAGAGGTCATACATTATTTCACTGTCTACATCATTAATGAATGAAAAGTTACATTTTAATTATTAGGTTAGTAAAAATATTTTTCCATTCCAGTTCATGAAGCCCTGGACTAGATCTTCACAGGCATCCTCAACCCTGTTTTGGATCATCGTACATCACAAATGAACAGAAGAAATATAACTACTGTAATGTCTTGCTAATAGTCTGATTTTCTCTGAAGCAAGTTAAGATACTTTGAATGTACTTACCACATTTAAAACATAGAAATTGCCAGTAAATTGTCACTTACATAGTATGACCACAAATAGTTACGAAATGCGTTTACTTTAAAAGTTATCGTCGTGTTTTGGAAACACATTCTAAGTAGCAAATGAGTACATAAGAATGAAAAGGTTTAGAACGCCAATGTAAGCTATGATTAGATAGCAGGTTATCTGTGTTGCCAAAAACTAGTGGAAAATTCACAAACTCAACTCTTTAATCTTTCCTTATTTTAATAAATATTTTACTTTTTAAAAGTCCCCCGAAAACTTCAACTACAGTTTAACCAAGCGCATGGTGCTCGATGGAGAGGTTACAATTTAGCTACAAAAATCCAAGGAATACCTTCAGAGCTAACAGCAGTAAATAGTAGCACTCCGCCTGCGAAATATATTACAAGAAAACACAGTACAGTGCAGTAACCTGAAAGGGTTATGATACGAAAATCCAATATTCAATCCAAATGACATTTACTTCGTCC